ACACTGATCACAGCTCTTATAAGGAGCAGTAAAACCATCTAAAAGAACCCAATGTCTAAATCCTGTACACCATCTGTATGGAAGGGTCTCATGTCGAGTACCTCCTCGCTGACCAATACCCTCAGCCTGAGGTGGTGGTGGTGGGGGTAGTGGTGGTGTGAGATCAGGAAGTTGCTCAGGAAGAGGTCCAGCAGGTGGTGATGGTGGTGATGGTGGTGTTGGCTCAGGAAGTGGTGCAGGGGGTGTTGGTTGTGGACTGGGGATAGGGGAAGCAGGAAATGCTGAGTCTGGTGGAGGAGTGCCATTGGAACTATGCACAGAGTCTAAATCCATTCTATCATAATGAAATGGGTCTTCAATCTCTTGATTCTCTTCCTCAACAGTAGGTATTTGTGAAGCAAATAGGCGGCGAGGATGAATATCCGCAGTCATGTCATCAGCTGGCTGGGGACTTCCAGGCTGATTAACCCTTGTGCGTTTCCCACGTTGCTCTCGAGAAGTTGGAGTGCTAGGAGAAAGTGAGCTAATAGGACGAGCAATCCGGTCTAATTAATATTATTAAATATATAAATTATGAAATCAAAAACCTAAACATACCCGCAAATTTGGAGACTCACGTATAATTTCGCGACGAAGATTTGGCAGTGGGATAGTTGATGGATGTGGTGGTGAGCCTCCAGAACGTGGTCGTGAACCATTATGCGAAGTATTTTGGACTGCCGGATACAATTGTGGACTGGGTGGGCGAGGAAATCTACTTGGTTGAGCAATGAATCCAGGAGGGTGCATTGGGGCTATACAACCTGTCAATCAGATATAAACATCAGTTTGTTTAGACTTACGGCCACCTCCCACAGTTCGTGGAAACAGTGTAGAAGGACCAGCAATAGCAGAATTTTCGGCCTGATGTTGAGCATCAAGCAGTTGTTGTTGTTGTTGTTGTCTACGCGCACGCGCAGCCCGCGAAGCAGCAATAGTAGTTGGAGAGAATGGCTCCATTGAGTCTGTTGCCTAGACACTTGCAGTCAGGACAATCTCTTGCGGACACAGAACCCAGGTCAATAACCACCCTGGCGTTCCCCAGGGACTGCTGCAACACGAGTACAACAACCACCCTAGTAAAGCCTCGTGTAGATGCCCTAAAAGCAAAGTGTTTGGTGACAGTTCCCTTGAACTGTGTTGCCTGAGAGAAGAGAGGTAGATTGAGAACTACTGAAAATCTCCCACGAGCTATCAAGACAGATTCGGCCTCGAAACAGTGTTCAGAGGATGTAATCCCACGAGCCGCAAGCAGCTCCTGACACCGCAGTGTGAGAGAGGTCCAGCAAGTTGAATTGCTTTGGTGGCTACAGCAAACTAAGGCCGTGCAGGTGGACTTCACACAGCTTAGGCTATTCTTGTGCTATCAAGCCAATAGGAGGGTTCCCAGCAGCTATTAACGTTGCTCAAAACAACGGGGGAGAAGGGGAGAAGGGAAGAATGACAGAATCTGTCTCGGAGTCACTCATAACGCAATCGATCAGTCATCGATAACGGCGCTGACAGCGCCGGGCCCCCGCCGGGGCCTATCGGCCGACACTCATTCAAATCTCGGACCTCATCACACGTTTGACGTCGTGTGGGAGTTTTTTCTTAAGTTTTTTGGTCACCGCAGAATTGGGGAGCAAGCTCCCCAATAATGGAGAGAACCCGCTGAAAAAATCATAGCTTATGCCCCACCTCTAATTTCCACGGCTTCACGTTTGTATTTAGACGATTTTCGGTCAAAAATGAAGATCGCAACAGAGGGTAGACTTCTCAAATCCTGGGAGCCGCGAATACACACCAAATACACGAGCGAGAGTACACTGGCGTTTCTAGAATCACTCAAGCTGTACCAAAGGTCGAGATCCCTTCCCATCATTCTGCATAACCTCGGAGGATTCTCCAACGATGAAGTTCTAAGGGGCCGTCTCTCAAGGATATTCACTCCCACAAACAAGTGAGTCAAGTCTCGAGTCATAGACTATAAATTCAGTAACAATGATTAGATTCCTCGTCAATGCATCTGGAACGGGCAAAACTCGATTGTGCTACGAAGGACTTTGCTCGAAGTGGGGCTTCTACTTCAGCTTCCACATAGACGACGGTCGCCTTGGGTCACTGGACTTGCATATCCTGCTACCTGAAATCGAGCATGGGGAATATCGTGGCAGTGACATACGGCAAAAAATGGAGATTATCGCGACTAAACTTCGTGCTATTTTCTTGGCTCGACTGCTCGTATTTCTATTATTCCTCGAAGCAGCTGCTGTTGACGGGGACTACTTTGTCGATCAAATGAAAAAACGATGGCTCGTTCTGCAGCTCTTACCGGGAAATCTGCATGAACTGTGGAACCAGACCGACGTTTTCAAGGACCTTGCGAGAAGGTTGGCTGACCACGACACAGCCGACCTTACGGAGAACATAGTTATAGCCCTGCGTAAGATTCGCAAGTTCATCGGAGATGACTCACTGTTCCTGGTCTTGGACGAAGCCAGTTATGCCGTTGATATGTTCTCTGAGGACCTGGAAGGTGGCTCCTTGTTGCAAATTGCTCTCCAGGTCTGGACAGACGCGACAAAGGGGCAGTGTCCAATTATTTGTGCGGGCATTAAAATTCCTCAAGAACGGTTCAAAGACGGCCCCGGCAGTGATTTCGCGTGGACTTCGGATACTGGTGGATTCGACGACCCTGTTCAGCAAGAACAATATGTGGCTCAGTTTCTGCCTCCTAATTTCCGTGATTCGCCTGCAGGGCGTTTTCTCATAGCGAGGACGTGGCGTTGGCTACGTGGAAGGTGCTGCGACGGTTCTGGTGGTGGAAAATCGTTTGACGATTCTTAGGCATCGTTTTACTGCAATTTTGTGGAAATTCTGCTATATGAAGGCATCGAATTCCCACACGCGTGTTTGGACAAATATATCCAGCACGCACTTTCTTTTCGAGCCGCCGACGCCCTCGACTTGGTGGAAGCTGAAGGGAAACCGCCCAGGTGGGAGAAAGGTTTCTATCCAATCAAAGTCCGCAGAGAGTCGAAGGGTGTGTAATTTCAAGCGATACGAACTATCGCGGCTGATGTTGTGACAGAGAACAAGAACTTGTTTCTTCAGATCCTGTGGCATTACATGGCGACCCATAACGTCGCACCGTTGCTGGGTAGTGATCAAGTCGTTTTAATGTATGACGACTTGGCGCGCTTTCACGATACGGACTTGACAGAGATTGCACTCGATGAACCGATACCCCTTCTCGTTATCGCAAGGACCTTGTTCCCCTTTCCGACCAAGCCAAGTCCAGGCAAGCCAAACGAGAATCCGGCAACGTTCATTCGCAGTCTCCGTCGAAATATTCCAGGGACACCGGAATCTCTCGCGCATTGCCTTGTGTTTTATCTTACACAGGCCCTCGGCAAGGGCAAGCGCCTCGACCAAATCTTCTCCTTTCCACCTGGGCCTCCGGAATGGGCCAAACAAGCCGCAACCCTTGTTCGCTTCTATAGAACGGGGTCCGATGAGATGGCCTGGTCGCCAGTGGCTGCAGACGACTTCGAATCTTTTCGACCACTAGCACATCATGCTGCGTCCGTGAAGGAAACTCTTTCCTGGCTGGAGCATCAGGTTGGCACCGCGTTTTGTCTACCGCATTCTTCAAACGCCGACTTGATATTCGCCGTTCAACTGGCAGATGGAACCTTCACCTGGGTTGTACTCAAAGCGATGGTTACCGAAGAGCCTGTGCAACTAGCGGAGCTGCAGACGATCCTGTCTTCACTTCAAGTTGGCAATTTATCCAAGGTCAGTCTGCTCCTGTGCTCATTTTTCTCATTCTCACAATCCAACCAGGACGCTGACGACACCACTCAATCTCAATTCCAGCGCGCATTTGATGCACTCCCAAATACTGGCAGCTGCAAAGTTCTGCACGCTGTCTGTGCCTTTCCAATCGAGATACCTGCTGATTCTGCCGATCTTCATGGCGATTTTGACACTGCTGCCATTGTTAACATTTCTGCCCTCGAATCGCGCTCCTATCAAGCCATGCAGACGGACTTTTTCGCCGCGATCGTCGCAGGTGTTCTTGCTGGTCATAAACGCAGGTCGCCGTGGGAAAGCAGCGACGAAAACACACTGCAGACGAGTCGAAAACGAATGAAGTTGAAGCATTTCCACCCCGACGAACAGCCGTATGTCACATGGCCGCAGGCGTGGTGGGACGGGCCAATTGTGGATGAGAAAGAGGAAGTTGAGGCGGTCGGAGAGGCACCCGTGCAAATCAGAAAACCGACAACACGCGGCAAGGGGAAGAAGAAAGCGGAGGCGTCAATGAAACGAGAGACCAAAGCCGCTCCAGCTCAAGCTCACAAGTTGTCTGCCGAGAAGACTATCCGTAGCAGGCGAAAGGGGCTTCCAATCGACCAGCCTGCGGCGCGTCGTGGCGGTAAAGCCAAGTCCGCGGCCACGGATGCTGGTGCTATAGCTGAGACTCATGCTGAGGGGAGCAGAAATCCTCGTCCGAAACGCAAGGCGCCACCTGTAAATGAACCCAATGTCGGCACTATAGATCTCGACAAAACTCCCGCACAAAACACGCGGAGTCGAATGAAAAAGACGTGAACAACGGATGTCTTTCCCTGTGATACCCTGTTCAATTAGTGCTTTGCCCTGCTTTCTTTTGCTATTCGTTGCTGTTGTATCCATATATTGTACCTCTGAGGTCCCATCATCCTATATCAGAGAGCTGTAGCATATATAGGTAGGCATTGTAAGGTAGTAGGTAGTGCTTGCAGCAAGACACGAGTAGCTAACCAGAGGTGGCTTGCTGAAAATGGCTACGGTGCTTCCATCAGGATGAAAGGAAATTTCATTGCCTACGCCTACTTACTCAACACCACCATGATCACGAAAACGTGTTTTCTGGTTTACCTACCTACCTAAACACACGCACACCTAACTAGTCTTACGATTACCTTGGCAAACTAAAAGACACTCAGTATCATCAGGATAAAGGAAGGGAAACTTTTTGCTCCGATCCATGCTTCAACTGCTCGACTTGCGCGTGCGGATGACCTTGTTCCGAAGCGCTTTCTCCTTGAGCTCGTTCTCGCGTTTGGTGAGGTCAGGGGTGGGTTCACGGTTCGGCTAAACGACTCGTCAAAAACCCATTAAAAACGGAGTGGTAAGCAACGAACCTCGCCTTCATCCCAGCGACTTTTTGTATTACGCTCCGCTTCAGCCTGACCTTTGATCTTGAGCTCGCCTGGCCTGGTTTGTGGTGTGCGACTACGATCCCTTCGGTTACGCGGCGATCTACTGCGACTCCTACTTGGACTCCGATAGCGTCTTGCTCGCGGCGAGATGCTCCTCCTGCGTGGCGGGCTCCGGCTACGGGATACGTTGGATCGACGGTCACGTGATATCCGGCGTTTTCGGGCGGGTGGACTGCGACTGTCTCTTCGGTTGGCGCGGGGAGGCGGCGGTGAGCAGCGCGAGCGAGAGTATGAGCGCGGACGACGGCGATTGCCTTTAGCGGGTGGCGGTGAGCGGGAGGGTGGCCGAGAAGAACGGTCTGATTCTGGTGTACGTGACCGACGGCGACGCTGTGGGGGCGGAGAACGAGAGCTGTGGATGTCATTGTCACGGGAGGGAGAGCGACGTCGACGAGGGGGAGGAGGGGAACGGCGACGACCTGGAGGTGAGGCGGAATATGAACGGCGACGAGGGGGAGGCTGTAGAGAGTGAAAAAAGGCAGAAAAAATGGGAAAATAAAACATACTGGTCCTCCACCACGCCCTCTTGCACCCCAGCCACTATCCCTGCCCCTTCCTCCACCCCAATCACCACGACCTCTGCCTCTGCCTCTACCAGACCGGGAATCGGTAATTTCATCTAACCCGGGCCTTGCCCGCCTGTCTCTTTCGTCCAACACCCTCCCGTCGTTTTCTCTCGCCTTGCGCATCTCCTCCTTCTTCTGTTCGACAAAAGTGCGTGGGACACCCGTTACTTCATTTTGTGCTTCCAGCAGCAGCGTCCACAGGGCAGCCATGAATTTCGGCGCGTCCGCAGCGATAAATGCCTGTAAACTCAGCTGCATTTTGCGCGGGTCCGGAGTGGGTGAGGCTTCCAACAACTCGATGGTGTAGTTGATCAGAATGTCGTCCTCGAACCCACACAGCTCGACAATCTTTTTGGTTATCCACGGTTGGATGACAACGAGGTTGACTTTGCGCATATCCACCTAATTGAGTGAGATGAACTCTTGTACCAAGAAAGAGCATGCCAAAGTGACCTTTTCGCCAAAGTTGGACGGGAATTTGGTCGACTTGAGCAACTTTTGTTCCTTGTCCACGAACCGTCTGTCCTGGTCTGCAGAGGTGCCCTTGAAGAAGCCTGAGATATTGAGTTTTCGCAACGTCATTCAAGGGGTTTGGTATGTACTGACCCGAATCCGCCATGGAAGAAAGAGGTGGGAGAGAGACCGTGGGATTTTGGCCTTGATCGTAAGAAATCCGTCTTCCTATAAAGTCCTTGCGCCAGGTACATAGCTGTACATAGCTGCAAGACCTGCTTCAATCTTGAATAGTGCACCAAGACGATGCTGCTTCACAGCGGAACGAACAAGTGACATTACAGTAAGACCGCACACTTCAAATTCAAGCTTCGATTGAGTCAATTCGGACCGCGAATTTTCTGGTCCTTTCACCTATATAAGCGTTCTACTCCGAGTCTGTCTTCGATATTGTTTCTGTCGTTTTTTTTTGCCCCAGAGTCAGAAGACTAAACTAAAATATAATGTTTTCTTTTTACAATGTGTCCTAAAAAGTACAGGTAGAGGCTTGATAGGGATTGTACTAGATACTCAGCCAGAATCTTGGGGCACACTCGACGGTACAGCGTCAAGCTCTGTCGCGAATAGCCAAGGCCATCGCCCAATTTGGTAATCGCCATCACACCGACGTGTCACGCCTGTTCTTCCTCCTCCGTCCACATTCTCCACATTCTCTCTCCATGGCCCGCAAAAAGACGCCGGCCAACGGGTCTCCTTCTGCGCCACCCGAAATTTCCAGCTCCTCTGCAACGTCAATACCCTCACCCTCGTCACCTGAACCGCTGGGCCCGCTAAGCTTGCCACCCTTGCCTGGCGCGCGTGACGTGGTCAAAGTGAACAACCTCAGCTCCACAGAGCTCAAGAACGCCTGCGACGATGCGCTCAAACGGGTGCGTCCTCTTTTCTCGGCAGAACTGACAGCGATTAATGGTTATCACCACAGTACCTCTCCCGACCCGAACTGTTCAAGCAAAACCACCAACACACCGATGTGCGACTCGCGCTGGGCTGGCTGAGCGTGTTTGTTGCGGGTGGGACAGGGCTGTACGGCTACAAAGTGGAGTTTGAGGCGAGCAAGCCGGTCGTGTGGGCGGGCCTCATTGTGTACCTGCTGCTCACCTTCACGCAAACACTCTACGCGTACTTTGTCGAGGGCGACACTGTCTACGTCGGCAAGCGCAAGACATTCTCGAAACGCATCGAGACGGAGCGGATTACCATCGCTTCTCGGACGATTCCAGTTTCGAGCCAGCCACCAGCAACGGAAAACGCGACTCCTGAGCATCCTTGGGATCATACGCCAGAGTACTCTCTCGAGGACGCCAACCACACTCCCCTCTATTCGCTCGGCATCACCTACCTTCGCTCAACATCCGCAAACAAATCATTACTGGCTCGTAACAAGAGCAGCGCACAATCCTCATATGCTGCATTCTTCGACGGTGACGGCGTTTTAGATGCCGACGTCTTTGAGCAGTGGGTTGGGAAGGCGGTCGAGGAGTGTATGAGTGTCAAGGATAAGAGCTCCTAAAAATATTGTATTTCGGTAGTTGTTTGGTATGGATGGACCAGAGAGCTAGTCTTGCTGTTGAACATGGCATTGAACAAACATTGAAGCATTCAGCGAGGTGAATCTTGGGCCGACTGACCTTTGCTTTAGGTTTGATGCCTGTGACGCTGTTTGAAAATCATGTCTCGTCTTGTCCAACTCTCCATCGTCCTTGCCGCTCTTGCGGCAGGCTATCAGCTATGGCTGCAGCCCATTTTCACGAAACTCGGTGTCTGGCGCGTCATCGAGCCAATTAACAACACCAATTGCCGGACCGTGCCAGAGCTGGCTGCCTGCGAGAGTACGCTAACCAAACTTCCTTTTCATCTCCCACTAAGCAGAATAGAACTCGTCCTTCACCAAGCCACGGGGCTCCTCTTTCTTGCCTGTTCTTCACCAGAAAGCCGTGCACATTGGGTCCCCGCGGTGGGGCAGCTGAATGTTTCGGGCCCAGATGCCGAATTGGACTACCTCGCGACATACGACGCTGCGACCAACAAAATCACCAGACTTGAACTGCCAATACCCATCCACACGCATGGAATGGACGTCGTGCCCGCTGGCGATGGCAAGCGGCTGTTTATCTACGCCGTAAACCACCGCAAGGGCAAACAGGGGGACGGCGCGGACTCGACAATCGAAGTCCTGTCATTGGCGCTGGGAGAAACAAAACTCAACCACCTGAGGACGGTGCGCCACCCAATTGTCCTCACGCCAAACGACGTGGTCGGCAGTGACGATGGGAAGAGTGTGTTCTTCACCAACGACCATGCGAGCAAGACCAGCTGGGTAAGTTTCATGATCACGCTCCACATTAGACTCCATAACTGACAATACGCCCAGACCCGTCACTTATCCCTGCTGGGCTTTGAGTCTGGCTCCGTTGGCTTTTGCTCTATTCCATCTGGTGAAGCCGTAGACTGCAAAACTGTCGCGCCAGACATCCACGGCGCCAACGGCATCACCAGGTCACGCACCAACGACACGTTCTTTGTCGCCAACGCGCTGTTTGGCGGAATCACGGTGCTCGAGCGCCAACACGACAATACTCTCCTCAAGACGCACGTGATCCCGACCGACCGTGGACTTGACAACCTCTCCATGGACAACGACGGTGTAGTGTACGGTGCCGGTATCCCCTCCATCCCTGCCATTTCGGCGCACATCGCAAACCCAAGTCTGAAGGCGCCATCTTCAGTCTTGGCGGTCTCGAAGAATGTCGGGCCGGGCTCGTTTTATGGGGAGAAGTTTGTCGTCAAAAAGGTGTTCGAAGATGACGGCAGTCTGGCACGGGGCACTACATCGGTGGTCCACGACTCGGCCAGAGGGAAATTGTTTATTCATGGTGAGTGCTTTTACGGTGTCGGATGACTGACTGAGGTGCTTGCAGGAATTGCGGCGCCGCATTTAACGGTGTGCCAAGTCTGAACAGCAGAAGTAAAAGGCGAATGTTGTACGACTATGGACTAAAATCCTATTTGGCTCTTGGAACTTATGCGCGTGAATGGATGTGTAGAGGGCGGCTTCATAACCTGACTGCTGCTTATATACTGAACCTCACAGGAATCACTAACCAACGTTCAGTACGTTCAGTCTGCACGAAGCCTTACGCACAAGTTTGAGGTTGATGTCACATCCGACCCCTCCATCATGCCCTTCTCCTCACAGCTCGACGATGGTATTTCTCCCCATCGACGAAACCTTGTACCATCGCATACTACCGCTGTCTCTCGATATACGACTAGCGACGACGCAACTTCCGTCCAGGAATGGAACATCGTTGGGTATAGGGGCATCGAAGGCTGCCCCGAGTCCCACAACATAGCCTCCGCGAGCATACCTCAGCTTGTGGAAGCTCGCCGTCGTGAGGATGGAAACGATATGGTTTCGTCTCTGGTCCGTATGTGTCCCATTCACATTTTGGCAACTTGTCTTCCTCCAGGATATTCCCGAGACCTCCCGGCCGATATTTGTTCGCGGGGATCGTGTCACTGGGCCCAATGTCTTGTTCCAGAAGCCCGGACTAACAAGTCGGTTGTGGAAATGAAGCTTGATGTCGATTTCATCACCGAAGAGGGCCAACTCAAAGTCGACAAACAGTCAATCAATGCCGCCATTCAACTGGCCACAAGCGCACGCAGCCTCCTCGTCAACTCAGGCGACACGCATGTTTACGTTTCCGCTGTGTTTCAGCATAAATCTACGCGAATTTACCGGTTTGACCGCTGCGGGTTCAAGGCATCGCCAGCCTTCGAATGGAACGTGGAACCTCGTCCAGTTGTTACGCTGGTACACCGCCTCTTCGTCCCACAAACCCTGGGAGATGGCTGGCTCGACTACGTTGATCAAGACGACACTATTTCCTCTGCATCGCCAGAAGAAAAGAAGAGGCTCTGGACAGCTCTTTGCGCCGACGAGTTCTACAAAACCATCATTGCGGACGAAGCCATCTTCAACTACCATTGTCAAAAATTCATCGCTTCGCACAGAATCCCACCCAACGATCCGCACGGGCCCTCACAATTCGTCACATGCCTCCAAATTGGCCCACCGTTGTCCCAGTCCGATGGCCCGTTCAGTCATGCTACTCGTGTTTATCGGGTGGCCATCCTGGAAGATCTTCCTGCCCTTTCTGTTTATGCACTGAAGGATGCATGGAAGCAAGGTTATCGTCGCGATGAGATCGACTTGTACGACTCAATTGCAGTATATGTTCAAAGTCTCGATGACCTAGAAAAATTTGACCAAGATGATCAACGGACGAAGAAAGCGAAGGCATTTGGCATGGCTGAATGTCATGGAATGATCAACCTCGCTGAGGGTTATGATGAGAACCAGGTGCCCTGGAAGTGGCGGCCTGAGCTCCACAGGACCAGCGATGGGGCTTCGTCGGAAGACAATGGTCGCTATCATACTCGGGCCCTCATCACGCCCGTTGGCTGCCCTTTGAACAAATTTCCCTCCACCAAGGCACTTTGTAAGGGCATCCAGACCGCCTGTTTCCGTGCGTCTGTTCAAGCTTCCTTGTTCATCGCTAACCTAGCCACAGAACATCAAGTCGCATACCATGCTGGTGTTCAACACTGCGATCTCAACGAGGGTAACCTTATGTTCGATGAAAAGACGATGACTTGGGAGTTTCCTCAGCTTTTTGTGATTGGCTGGGACTACGCCGAGTTTGTCGACGGAGACGGCATCGATGGTGCTGCTTTATTCCAACAGAATTTTCCCGAACGAACTGCCAGTAATGTTGTGGTTAATAAGGAGCCCACCCGGTTCACGGTGTGTGGTACATCCAGGTTCATCACTTCTCCTAATGGCTCCTCCTAGGGCACTTTACCTTTTATGGCTCTCGAGCTCCTCAGAAGCAAGGCGTTGCACACCCCAGTCGCCCACAAGGCTCATCACGACATAGAGTCCTTGTTCTGGATCCAAATCTGGATGCTGACACGGTATACCAACTACTTCGACACAATATATCCTCATTGGGGCGATCCCTGCAACCATATCTTCGGCTCGTTAGATGGCCTATTTAAGCACACTATTCTATCAGTCTCTCTCATGTTCTCGAACAACACTTGCCTCTTTGAGCTATGCGATCAATTTCGGGCACATGTTGCGAAACAGAATCCTCCACCCGCATCGAATATCACACTCTTGCCGCAAAGATCGAAATTCAAGAGGTCTTCAGCTGAATTGCTCGTGCATTTCTTTGTGGAGGACATTTATGACCTACATGTGGACACAGCTAATTGGCCGATCGGGGACTGTGCAAGTACGTTCGGTTCGGGTCAGCATCGAGTTCGGGTTTGCCCGACCGACGTACACAAATCTGTCACCAGTGGCCAGCCTTCAAAAAGTCTTGCGCTCTAGATTGTGGTTGAGTGTGAAGAAGCTGCGATTAAAACGATGAGGTCCAAGTCGACCGCCGGTAGCTCGAGCTCTGAAAACGACCCTTTAAGCAATGGCGAGCGGAATTGCACGGCAAAGCAGTTTGGTATAAGCGGTCCGATGGTATATAAGGTTACACGGGAGGTACAGTAAAGATACAATTAAAGTAGGTAGCGAAAGCAAGTCAAAACATCAATTGGACAGGGTATCACAAATGTGTTCGTTATTCATGTCTTGTTTTTCTTCGCTCGACTGCGCGTGTTGTGTGCTGGAGTTCTGTCAAAATCTACAGTGACATCGGGTTCATCGACAGGTGACGCCTTGCGTTTCGGACGAGGATTCTTGCTCCCCTCAGCATGAGGCTCAGGTACGGCACTAACATCCGTGGCCGTTGACCTCTGAGGCATCTTTTGCCTGCTACGAATAGTCTTCTCGGCAGACAACTTGTGAGCTTTAGATGGAGCGGCTTTGGTCTCTCGTTTCATTGATGCCTCCGCTTTCTTCTTCCCCTTGCCGCGTGTCGCTGATTTTTTGGTTTGAACCGGTGCCTCGTCGACCGCTTCAACTTCCTCCTCGTCATCCACAATTGGCCCGTCCCACCACGCCTGCGGCCATGTGACATACGGCTGTTCGTCGGGGTGGAAATGCTTCAACTTCATTCGTTTCCGACTCGTCTGCAGTGTGTTTTCGTCGCTGCTTTCCCACGGCGACCTGCGTTTATGACCAGCAAGAACACCTGCGACGATCGCGGCGAAAAAGTCCGTCTGCATGGCTTGATAGGAGCGCGATTCGAGGGCAGAAATGTTAACAATGGCAGCAGTGTCAAAATCGCCATGAAGATCGGCAGAATCAGCAGGTATCTCGATTGGAAAAGCACAAACTGCACGCAGAACTTCGCAGCTGCCGGAATTGGGGAGTGCATCAAATGCGCGCTGGAATTGAGATCGAGTGGTGTCGTCAGCGTCAGCGTCCTGGTTGAATTGTGAGAATGAGAAAGATGAACACCGAGCAGACTGACCTTGAATAAATTGCCAACTTGGAGTGAAGACAGGATTGTCAGCAGCTCCGCTGGTTGCACAGGCTCTTCGGTAACCATCGCTTTGAGTACAACCCAGGTAAAGGTTCCATCTGCCAGTTGAATGGCAAATACCAAGTCGGCGTTTGAAGAATGCGGTAAACAAAATGCGGTGCCAACCCGATGCTCCAGCCATGAAAGAGTTTCCTCCACAGAAGCAGTATGATGTGCTAGTGGTCGAAAAGATTCGAAGTCGTCTGCGGCTACTGGCGACCAGGCTATCTCATCTGACTCCGTTCTATAGAAACGAACAAGGGTTGCGGCTTGTTTGGCCCATTCCGGAGGCCCAGGTGAAAAGGAGAAGATTTGGTCGAGGCCCTTGCCCTTGCCGAGGGCCTGTGTAAGATAAAACACAAGACAATGCGCGAGAGATTCCGGTGTCCGAGGAATATTTCGACGGAGACTGCGAATGAACGTCGCCGGATTCTCGTTGGGCTTGCCTGGACTTGGTTTGGTCGGAAAGGGGAACAAAGTCCTTGCGATGACGAGAAGGGGTATCGGTTCATCGAGTGCAATTTCTGTCAACTCCGTATCGTGAAAGCGCGCCAAGTCGTCATACATTAGGACGACTTGATCACCACCCAGCAACGGTGCGACGTTATGGGTCGCCATGTAACGCCACAGGATCTGAAGAAACAAGTTCTTGTTCTCTGTCGCAACATTAGCCGCCGATAGTTCGTATAGCTTGAAATTACACACCCTCCGACTCTCTGTGGACTTTGATTGGATAGAAACCTTTCTCCCACCTGGGCGGTTTCCCTTCAGCTTCCACCAAGTCGAGGGCGTCAGCGGCTTGAAAAGAAAGTGCGTGCTGGATATATTTGTCCAAACACGCGTGCGGGAATTCGATGCCTTCATATAGCAGAATTTCCACAAACATTGCGGTAAAACGATGCCTAAGAATCGTTAAATGATGACCACCAGAACGGTTGCAGCACCTTCCACGTAGCCAACGCCACGTCCTCGCTATGAGAAAACGCCCTGCAGGCGAATCACGGAAATTAGGAGGCAGAAACTGAGCCACATATTGTTCTTGTTGAAGAGGGTCGTTAAATCCACCAGTATCTGAAGTCCACGCGAAAGCACTGCCCGGGCCGTCTTTGAACCGTTCCTGAGGTATTTTAATGCCCGCACAAATGATTGGACACTGCCCCTCTGTCGCGTCTCCCCAGACCTGAAGAGCAACTTGCAAGAAGGAGCCGCCTTCTAGGTCATGGGAGAACATATTAACGGCATAACTGGCTTCATCCAAGACAAGGAACAAAGATTCATCTCCGATAAAGGTGCGAATCTTGCGCAGGGCTACATCTATGTTCCACGCGAGGGAGGGCGAGTCGTGTGCTGCCAGCATTCTTGCAAGGTCCTTAAAAATGTCGGCCATCTTCCCTGCTTCGGGGAGACTATCTGGCACGAGCTGCAGGATGAGCCATCGCTTCTTCATTTCATCAGCTATATGACCCTCCTCAACGGCCGCGGCTTCGAGGAATGACAAGAATACCAACAGCCGAGCCAAAAGGATGGCACGAAAAGTAATGGTAAGAGCTTCTGTTCTCTGTGGCAATTCACCGTCAATATATTCTGCATTCCGAGTTTCAGGGAGCAGGATATGCAAGTCGAGTGACCCAAGGCGACTGTCGTCTATGTGGAAGCTGAAGTAAAAACCCCACTTATAGCAAAGTCCTTCGTAGCACAACCGAGTCTTGCCGGTTCCAGATGCATTGACGAGGAATCTAATCGTTGTCAGTTTGAAGTCTGCATACGTTTACAGACTTGACTGACTTGTTTGTGGGAGTAAATAACCTTGAGAGACGATCCTTCAATATATCATCGTTCAAGAACCCCCCTAAGTTATGGAGGATGATAGGAAGGGATTCCGAACATTGGTATAGCTTGAGGGAGTCTAAAAACGTCAGTGTTCTCTCGCTCGTGTATTTGGTGTGTTTTCGCAACTCCCAAGCTCCAAGAAGTCTACCCTCAGTTGCAATGTTCATTCTTGGACGAAAGGCGTTTAGATACAGACGCGAAGTCGCGGAGATCAAAGGTGGGGTAAAAGCTACAATCTTCTGTATGAGCTGTCTGCAGTACTATGTAGTGATACTTTCACATACGGGAATCCGTCACCAACGCCAAGTTATCCTCCAACCTTGCCTGTTGAATGGCATGATATAGTTGAGGCTGGGCAACGAGGAGCTCGTGACAGTGAGTAATCGCCGTGAAATCCTCGTCGACTGGCCTTTCAGCCTTCGAGAATGAGGCTTTGAGGACGAGAGACAGGAATTCTGCGGCAACATCCAGGCTGTCTATCTGACTATGGAGTTCCTTGAAGACAGTTAGACCTTCCTCGTTCGAGGAGTATGTTGATAGGGTTTGGTCGTTCATCGTAGGATGAACGTTGTTTGGGTGACAGCCCTTGTGGGTCCAGGACTATTCGGACTTTGTCTGTGCTTTGAGGCAAGCGGTGCCTAAAAAGATGCAATCCAAGACTATGTCCCACCTTTTTACCCTCTATTGCTCTTCAGGACCATTCTCTTTTCGCGTCCGTCGTCTGCGTGTGGAAGTGTCATCAAGGGAAAGGCATGTGGCAGTGTGAGATCGGGAAAAACTTTCTTGTTCGAGTTCAAAACTTGGATTGATTCGACAGCGGCCAGACATTGCAATTAACGTCCGAGTACAGTACAAATACATCTTCAAAGCAACAGGAAAACAGGGCAAAATGCTAACTAGAACGACGATAAAATAGACAGCACAGGTCAGGAGGAAGAGGAAATTGTAACTTCAGACCTTCTTGGATCTACTGCGCGTGTTTTGTGCTGGAGTTTTGTCAAGATCTATAGTGACGACTTCTGGTTCATCTACAGGCGGCGCCTTTCGTTTCGTACGAGGATTTTTGCTGCTTTCCGCAGAAGGCTCAGACGTGCCATCGACATCTGCTGTGGTTCTTCTCGATCTACCCCGAGGCGCCACAGTCTGGTCAGTCGGAGGCCTACTTCGCTTGCTGTGAGTGGTCTTGGTGTTCTTGGCAGACAACTTGTAGGCTCCGTCTATTCGCGTTCTCTCTTCTGTAGACCCCTTTGTTTTCTTATTTTTCCCCTTGTCGCGCCGCATTGGTTGCCTCCTGGCTTGTGTGCGCGTCGCTTCGAGCTCCTCCAAATCCTCAGGTTCGGGCACGATTGGCCCGTCCCACCACACTTGTGGCCATATGAGTAGCCTCTGCTCTCGACCATTGAGATACTCCAACTTGAGCCGCTTCCGACTTGTCCGCAATGTTTTTTCATCGTCATTTTCCCAGCGCGACTTGCGTTTGTTGCCCGCTAACACACCCGCGACGATTGCATCAAAAAAAGACAGCTGCATGACTTGATAAGAGCGAGATTCGAGAGCTGAGATGTTGATAATGGCAACGTCAGTGGTTTCAAGGCCCTGATCAAAACCGGGAGTCTGACCGGCCTCGAAAACAAGAATCTCGACAGGAAAGGCACATAAGGCACGCAAAATTTTGCAGCCACCAGTCTTGGGAAGCGAATCATATGCACGCTGTAGTCGCACTTGATTGACGTCATCGACTTCCTGTTTGCGCGTTCAGAATGGATATACAGAAAGTCACCAACGAACCTGCAGGAGAGCGTTGGGCTGTAGTGATGATAGCATCGCACCGAGATTTGAGGGTTGAATGGGCTCTTCATTGACCACTGCTTTGAGGATGACCCAGACGAAATCTCCGTCTGCCATGCGAATGACGAATACGAGGTCAACGTTTGATGAATGTGGTAAACAAAACGCTGTTCCAACCCGATGTTCCATCCACGCAAGGGTGTCCTCTACTGATGTTGCTTGATATGCAAGCGGTCGGAAAGATTGGAAGTCGCCTCTAGCTACCGGCGACCAAGCTACCTTGTCTGAATCAGTCCGGTAGAAACGAACCAGCTCTGCGGGTTGTTGGGTCCATTCCAGAGGTCCACTTAGAGATGAGAAGATTTGATTGAGGCGCTTGCCCTTACCAAGGGCCTGGGTAAGATAGAAGACAAGACAATGCGCAAGAGATTCTGATGTTTGAGGGATGTTTCGACAGAGACTGCGAATAAAGGTCGCCGGATTCTCATTTGGCTCGCCTGGCCTTGGTTCTGTGGGGTAGGGAAAGAGTGTCCGTGCGATGCCTAAAAGAGGCATGGGTTCGTCAAGCACGATTTTCGTCATGCGCGTGTCTCCAAAACGTGCCCAGTCATAATACATCAGAGCCACTTGGTCGATTGCCAAAGCGGGCGAGGTCTGATGAGTCGCTAGGTACCGGAAGAGAATTTTGCGAAACAAGTCCTTTTCCTCTGTTTCCATGTCAGTCAGATTTTCGGGGAGCTCCAAAAAGACACACACCTTCCAACATGTCCGAGGCTTTTATTGGATGGAATCCCCCGGGCCAACTTGGTGCATCTCCTTCCGCTTCCAAAAAGTCGACGGCATCCACCGGTCGGAAGGATATAGCGTGCTCGATATAACCATCAAGCCGCTTATGAGGCTGGGAAAGCCCCTCGGACAGAAGAATGGCCATGAACGTCGCTGTAAGGCGGTGCCTGTTTCGTTTATCAACAGCTGATTATTGCTCAGATAAAGGTATTACCTTCCTCGCAGCCAGCGCCATGTTCTCGTCACGAGAAAATGCCCAGCTGGGGAATCACGTAGCGATGGCGGCAGAAACTGGGCTACATATCGCTCTTGCTGAACAGGATCGTCAAATCCACCTGTATCGGAAGTCCAGTCAAAATCGCTGCCAGCGCCGTCTTTGAACCGCTCTTGAGGTATTTTGATACCGGCGCAGATAATGATGCAGTGTTTTCCGGTGCTTTCCTTCCATTCTGCGAGGAGAATTTGCAGAAGACAAGCACCATTCAACTCGCGAGAATACATTCTGATGGCATAGCTTGCTTCGTCGACGACCAAAAACAGGGGCTCTCCAATCACCCGGTATATCTTGTCCAGAGCAATTGCTATGTTTTTAGAGAGACAAGACGAGTCGTGTTTCACCAAATGGTACGCGAGACGTTCGAATGGGTCGGTGATTACTGGTGGACCATTGATGTTCATTGGATTAAGTTGCATCGTGAGCCAACGCTTCTTGAGATGGTCGTGTGAGCCTTGGAGTTCGGCAACTTCTTCTGCTTCGAGGAAAACCAAGAATATAAGTAGTCGAGCAAGCAATATGGCACGGAACAACACAACCAGTCGCTCGATGTTCCTGTGATACTCGCCAGATTTCGTGTTCAACATGAAGTCCTCTCGGCATCCACGCAATTTTTTTTCCAGATCATACGACCCCAAACGACCCTCGTCGTTATGGACACATAAATAAAAGCCCCACTTGGTGCAGAGCCCTTCATAACAAAGACGAGTTTTGCCAGTCCCGGAGGCATTCACAAGGAACCTAGTAATCTGAGTCAAGAACAATTTCAAAACGCAGCGTACTTGTTTGTTGGACTGAAGATCTCTGAAACGCGTGCACTGAGAATTGGGTCGTTGCTGAATCCTCCCAAGTCGTGCAGAATGATGGAGAGAGTGTTGTATCGGTGGGATAGCCTGAGGGATTCCAGGAAAGTGAGGATGCTTTCGTCCTTGTAGTCTGTGTGCTTTCGCGGCTCCCAAAGATCCAATGGTCCAGACGTCCCGATATTCCTACTGACTTCGTCTAGAATACGCCGACAAGCTGAAGATACAAGTGCTGGAGCCAGTGCTGTACTCTTTCTTCAGCGCCAAGTTGTTAAACCAGAACTCGATCACGTACGAGAACTGGCTATGGCTGCGAATTGGACATTCGAGTTGTCCGCTAATCGTGCACATTGCATTTGAGAATACAACTTGGGTTTAGCGGAGAGGATATCGCGACAAGTCGTGACCGCCGTAAGCCCCTCGTCTTCTGGGACTGAGGCTTGCAGGAATGCATCTGCCAGGAGGACAGATAAAAATTCTGCTGCGACATCCAAGCTTTTGATTTGAGGATAGCGTGTTGTCAAAGCATCGAGTTTGCTGCGGGTTGAAGGGGACACTATCTCCATGAGTCGCTGGAACTTAAGAGAGAGGATGGGGAGCCATTGTTGACGTGCTGCCACTGTGCTATTGTGTTTGGCGGTTGTGGGTGTGGTCAATGATCATTCTTACATAACACGCAAACCTCACTTCTTTTCGAATCGGCTGAAAATTGCAACTGCTGCCATTACAAAGACGTTGGCCTTCGCATACATTGGGCTCTCGTAGTCCGAGTTCCTCTGCTCTTCTAGCTCGATCGAGCTCACAGCAGTACCCTAGCGTTTCCTCCTACCTAGCAGCTGCAGAAGGTTCACAACGACTCCAACGAGTTTTCTCGACTACCGTTTGACCTTCGTCGTTGTCATCAATTTATTGCGTTTTGGCAAGTGCAACAGCCTATGCGACATCCGCCGGCGGAAAGTGGTGCAATGTATCAGTGCAACCGAAACAGTCTCAGTTGGATGGCCTTTTAAGTCGTTGGACCCCACACATTTGCTCCCAGCCGCAGATCGTCGCTCTCTTTCTCTCTCCCACCATCATAAGTAATTCCCGTCTTCATCAGTTAGCAAACCATGAATCTCTGACAGTCAGCTTTCTTTGACGACTTCGAAACCGACTTGCCGACAATTAACAGCAACTTTGGGTCAAGGTCGATGTCCTTCTCTTGAATAACTAACCCTTCCCTTGCCTGCAACTCCGGCATGAACTCTACCCTGAACATCGACTACGAACCTGGTCTCTTTCGCCTCTTTTCACGATCTCAAGTACGATTCAACAGTTGTTGTCGTTTCTGTGCTGATTGTCCATCAATTTGGCTCCCGGTCTTCGCAACGAGTGGGCGACTCTTCCTGAACTTCCCAGTGTGGACGCGACGGGCGGATATCCATGGACCCGATTTTCTTTAGGTTCACTTCAAGGTTTTCGACAAACGACAACTCAGCACAGGGGAGGGCAAGGGGCAAAGGGCGGCCTGGGAGGGTGTAATGCCGGCACTCGGCTTAAACGCCTGATCGATCGCCGACATCACGCTAGCTTTCTGGTCAAGCACTTTGCGCGCCTTGCATCATCAAACGCTCCCCGATGGATCCGCGCGTCGCAGAAATACTGGCGTTAATGTTACGGAAGATGTCGCCCCACTCTGGACCGTTCGTTTCCTACTTGTTTCGTATTGTAGTAATCCTCGCAACGCGATTTTCTGAACTCAAAACCCTACCGCCATGAATTGAGAAGGCCATCACTCTGGATGAGCACCATAAACAATAGTTAACTGAACATGTACCTGAAAACGAAGTTGTGGAAACTTGGAATGAGACGAACGTTCTTTACGCTCACTGCGTTCTCTGATTAATAAGCATGTCACGGTCGGATCGGGGAACGTTATTAGCTTGCCACCGTCCACCACCATCTTGTCTACCGTCCGTACTCTACGCAACCTCTTCCCTCTTCATATGCCTCTACAAAACCTCATAAATCAAGTCTTGAACCGTGACTGCCGCAATCCGCACTCACAGACCCTTCCTCTTCAAACCCCCCAAGAACGAGTCAACAACGCGATCGCACAAGCTCACTTCGACTGGCTCCCGTTACTTCCAGACGCCATTTGGGACAGTCTAGATGACCCTCTCAATGTCAACATTCTCGGCAACAACCAAATACGAGGAGACGCTATTGTAGCAGAATGTGTCGCAACACTACAAGCTCAATTATACCCGCAATCTCTCGCCGCTGAACGCAAGGTAAATAATCACGGCAGTAGACCAGACCGCTATCTACATAATCGTCTAGACTGCCCGAGTCACCCTCTTGTCCAACGCCACCTTCCATGCGCTCCTCTGTGCTTTTGGAGTCTCTGAACAACCATTCAGAAAGGAGAAGGCCGATGCTTTTGAGGTTTACGTTTCGGCACTAGGGCGCTATAACTGGGAGTTGGCCAATGAGTGGATTGGGTATGTGTTTACCGGTCTTATTCACACTGTCATGGCGAGGTCAATTAATTGCACATCTGTTCATCAACGACTTCACTGACCTTTTTACAGGAGACGAGGAGAGAAGAGAAAGGCGTCAAAGGAAGACGACATTATGTGTCAGTGCAAGCGACGGAGAGAACATTGACGAGACAACCACTCGGCCGACAGACTATCATTTCCTATCCTTACAAGTTATGACAGACAGACTTTTTACATTGGATTTAACTGCGCGACGCTTGAAAGACGATAACATGGTAGTGCCCTTCTGGCAAAACGTCACGGAGCTCTTGTCTCACATCGTCGGTCACGAACGACCCTCCTCACCATGACCATGACCACGACCATGACCAAGGCAATACGCGCGAATCCCCTCCTCGACCAGGACCATGATAACATCCCGATATTCCTTCAAATGCTCAGGTCTTTGCATGTGGATGAGCTCTTCTACATCCGCCCGCGTCGTCTGCCCTTTTTCACTCTCAATGTCATGCGCAGACTGAGGCTGGAACGACGGGATGAAAGGCTTTGGCTCATTAAGGCTATCGATTGTGGGGGCGCGAGACTGGCAAGAGATGTCCTAGGTGTTCTGTCCTTTGCGGCTCCGGGCATGCCGCAAGGCGATTTGACGGTGTGTTCGTTTGATTCTCTTGTTCTGGGTACTCAATCTTAACAGTGGATACGACAAGCGACATACGACAATGTGGCTAGAATGACTATCATTGCCGAAGAGCTTGATTTACCCCAAATTGCTGGTTCAAGACACCTTGACATTCTGATTTTCTACTATCTCGTGAGCGAACAAGAACGCTCAATTCCTATCCACCTCACCTGGCTATGGGACTTGCTGCTACCACTTCGGCGAGTTGCAACCGAGCGCTGGCAGAGCATTTCAGTCGAGAGCATTCCGGTCAGACCTGTTCCTCGTAACGGAAGGCAGGACATGACACGAAACGTCTTGAACAAAATCCGTGAAAAAAGTTTGAGCCACCCACAAGAAGTTTGTTATTGCCACAGGTTCAGTGTCAGCTCTAACTCAATCTCCTTTACCAGAGTCCAATGCGCTGGAATCGTAACCCTTACCACTCAGCACCAGCACCAGTGTCGCCACCACCTCTGGACTCGTGGTCGCACTGGCCCCGTGCTGGTCGTCCGCGTCATGTATGATGGCGAGTATAGATGAGGCCCGGTCTGGACAGTTACAAGTTCTATTCCGTCTTGCAGACAACCTATACCTACAGGCATGTCTCCTTTTACACCAATTTTTCTGCCATCTCAGCCAACTACAGCAATCACCGTACAGTCTATCTCGGAGAGAATGATGTATCGTCAAGTAGAGATATTCCTTGTAATGAACACCCTATCCACACCAATTCCATCATAAGTGGGACACGCGAACCCATTTATCGTCGCACTTTTTGACCTCGGGAACTTACATAAGCTTGAAGGGTATTCCACAAACGCTCGCTTTGAAGCCAGAAACATCACTCGGACATGCCGCGTTTTAGCCTGTCTTTTCAGGACGATGTGCTGGCATCGATTAACCCTTGTCTTTGCTTTTGACTTGATCCCTTTCATACTGTAGCAAGAGCGATTACGCTCAGCAGGCCACCTCTGCTTAGAGCTACTCGTGTCTTGGTTCAAGCACTACCTACTACCTTACAATACCTACCTATATATGCTACGGCTCTATGATATAGGATGATGGGACCTCAGGTAAAATATATGGATACAACGGAAACGGATAGCAAAAGAAAGCAGGGCAAAGCACTAAATTACAGGGAAAGGCATCCGTTGTTCACGTCTTCTTCGTTCGACTCCGCGTGTTTTGTGCGGGAGTTTTGTCGAGATCTATAGTGTCGACATCGGGTTCATCGACAGGTGGCGCCTTGCGTTTCGGACGAGGATTCTTGCTCCCCTCAGCATGAGGCTCAGGTACGGCACTAACATCCGTGGCCGTTGACCTCTGAGGCATCTTTTGCCTGCTACGAATAGTCTTCTCGGCAGACAACTTGTGAGCTTTAGATGGAGCGGCTTTGGTCTCTCGTTTCATTGATGCCTCCGCTTTCTTCTTCCCCTTGCCGCGTGTCGCTGATTTTTTGGTTTGAACCGGTGCCTCGTCGACCGCTTCAACTTCCTCCTCGTCATCCACAATTGGCCCGTCCCACCACGCCTGCGGCCATGTGACATACGGCTGTTCGTCGGGGTGGAAATGCTTCAACTTCATTCGTTTCCGACTCGTCTGCAGTGTGTTTTCGTCGCTGCTTTCCCACGGCGACCTGCGTTTATGACCAGCAAGAACACCTGCGACGATCGCGGCGAAAAAGTCCGTCTGCATGGCTTGATAGGAGCGCGATTCGAGGGCAAAAATGTTAACAATGGCAGCAGTGTCAAAATCGCCATGAAGATCGGCAGAATCAGCAGGTATCTCGATTGGAAAAGCACAAACTGCACGCAGAACTTCGCAATTGGGGAGTGCATCAAATGCGCGCTGGAATTGAGATCGAGTGGTGTCGTCAGCGTCAGCGTCCTGGTTGAATTGTGAGAATGAGAAAGATGAACACCGAGCAGACTGACCTTGAATAAATTGCCAACTTGGAGTGAAGACAGGATTGTCAGCAGCTCCGCTGGTTGCACAGGCTCTTCGGTAACCATCGCTTTGAGTACAACCCAGGTAAAGGTTCCATCTGCCAGTTGAATGGCAAATACCAAGTCGGCGTTTGAAGAATGCGGTAAACAAAATGCGGTGCCAACCCGATGCTCCAGCCATGAAAGAGTTTCCTCCACAGAAGCAGTATGATGTGCTAGTGGTCGAAAAGATTCGAAGTCGTCTGCGGCTACTGGCGACCAGGCTATCTCATCTGACTCCGTTCTATAGAAACGAACAAGGGTTGCGGCTTGTTTGACCCATTCCGGAGGCCCAGGTGGAAAGGAGAAGATTTGGTCGAGGCCCTTGCCCTTGCCGAGGGCCTGTGTAAGATAAAAGACGAGACAATGCGCCAGAGATTCCGATGTACGAGGAATGTTTCGGCGGAGACTGCGAATGAACGTCGCCGGATTCTCGTTGGGCTTGCCTGGACTTGGTTTGGTCGGAAAGGGGAACAAAGTCCTTGCGATGACGAGAAGGGGTATCGGTTCATCGAGTGCAATCTCCCTCAAGTCGGTATCGTGAAAGCGCGCCAAGTCGTCATACATTAGGACGACTTGATCTCCACCCAGCAACGGTGCGACGTTATGGGTCGCCATGTAACGCCACAGGATCTGAAGAAACAAGTTCTTGTTCTCTGTCGCAACATTAGCCGCCGATAGTTCGTATAGCTTGAAATTACACACCCTCCGACTCTCTGCGGACTTTGATTGGATAGAAACCTTTCTCCCACCTGGGCGGTTTCCCTTCAGCTTCCACCAAGTCGAGGGCGTCGGCAGCTCGAAAAGAAAGTGCGTGCTGGATATATTTGTCCAAACACGCGTGCGGGAATTCGATGCCTTCATATAGCAGAATTTCCACAAACATTGCAGTAAAACGATGCCTAAGAATTGTCAAACGATTTTCCACCACCAGAACGGTCGCAGCACCTTCCACGTAGCCAACGCCACGTCCTCGCTATGAGAAAACGCCCTGCAGGCGAATCACGGAAATTAGGAGGCAGAAACTGAGCCACATATTGTTCTTGCTGAACAGGGTCGTCGAATCCACCAGTATCCGAAGTCCACGCGAAATCACTGCCGGGGCCGTCTTTGAACCGTTCTTGAGGAATTTTAATGCCCGCACAAATAATTGGACACTGCCCCTTTGTCGCGTCTGCCCAGACCTGGAGAGCAAGTTGCAATAAGGACGCGCCTCCCAGGTCGTGGGAGAACATATCAACGGCATAACTGGCTTCGTCGACCACGAGAAACAATGCGTCATCTCCAATCAAAGTGCGGATCTTGCGCAGCGCGACATCTATGTGCTCCGTAAGGTAGGCTGTGTCGTGGTCAGCCAACTTTCTCGCAAGGTCCTCGAAAATGTCAATCTTGTCCCATAGTTCATTTAGATGCCCCGGTACGAGCTGCAGAATGAGCCATCGTTTTTTCATTTCATCGGCGAATTGATCCACGTCAACTACAGCTGCTTCGAGGAATGACAGGAATACGAGCAGCCGAGCCAAGAAAATAGCACGAAGTGTAGTAGCGATAATCTTTGTTTTTTGGGGTATGTCACTGTCACGATATTCCCCATGTCGAGATTGGGGGAGCAGGAGATGCAAGTCCAGTGACCCAAGGCGACCGTCATCTATGTGGAAGCTAAAGTAGAAGCCCCACTTCGAGCAAAGTCCTTCGTAGCACAATCGAGTTTTGCCGGTTCCAGATGCATTGACGAGGAATCTAATCATTGTTACTGAATTTGGAGTCTATGACCCAAGACTTGACTGACTTGTTTGTAGGAGTGAATATCCTTGAGAGACGGTCCCTCAGAACTTCATCGTCGGAGAACCCTCCGAGGTTATGCAGAATGATGGGAAGGGATCTCGACCTTTGGTACAGCTTGAGGGATTCGAGAAACGCCAGTGTACTCTCGCTCGTGTATTTGGTGTGTCTTCGCGGCTCCCAAGATTTGAGAAGTCTACCCTCTGTTGCGATCTTCATTTTTGGTCGAAAATCGTCTAAATACAAACGTGAAGCCGTGGAAATTAGAGGCGGGGCATAAGCTATGATTTTTTCAGCGGATTCTCTCCATTATAGGATGAACACATGCGAGAATCCGTCACCAACGCCAAGTTATCCTCCAACCTTGCCTGTTGAATGGCATGATATAGTTTAGGCTGAGCAACGAGGAGCTCGTGACAGTGAGTAATTGCCGTGAGGTCCTCGTCGACTGGCCGTTCGGCTCTCGAGAATGAGACCTTGAGCACTAAAGACAGGAATTCTGCCGCGGCATCCAAGTTGTCTATCTGGCTATGGCGTTCCTTGAAGACGGTCAGACCTTCCTCGTCCGAGGAGTATCTTGATAGGGTTTGGTCATCCATCGTAGGTTCGGATGAACATTGTTTGGGTGACAGTCCTTGTGGGTCCAGGACTTCGTCTATGCTTTGAGGTAAGCGGTGCCTAATTAGATGCAATTCAGGACTACGTCCCACCTTTTCACCCTCCATTGCTCTTCAGGATTGCTTCAGGACCATCCTCTTTTCGAGTCTGTCGTGTGGAAGTGTCATCAAGGGAAAGGCATTGACATGTAGCAGTGTAGAGATCGAAAGAAAACTTTCTAAGTCTTTCTTGTTCTAGTATTGATTCGCCAGCATCCAGACATTGCAGTTAGCGTCCAAGTACAGTAAAAATACATCTCGACAGCAACAGGAAAACAGGGCAAAATGCTAACTAGAACGACGATAAAATAGACAGCACAGGTCAGGAGAAAGAGAAAATTGTAACTTCAGACTTGCTTGGATCTACTGCGCGTGTTTTGTGCTGGAGTTTTGTCAAGATCTATGGTGACGACTTCTGGTTCATCGACAGGTGGTGTCTTTCGTTTCGTACCAGGTTTTCTGCTACTCTCCGCAGGAGGCTTAGTTGTGTCGTCATCCGCTACCGCTTCTTTGGCTTTACCGCCACGGGTAGACTGGGCGGTCGTAAGTTTTTTGCGCCGGTGACGAGCGGCATTGCTGTCCTCGACAGACAGCTTGTGGGCTCTGGCTGGGACGGACTTGCTTATTCGTTTGCTCTGCCTCGTTGACGCTTCCACCTTCTTGCTCCCCTTGCTACGTTGCGTCGGCTTTCTTCTGGTTTGTATGGGCATCTCTTCAACCTCCTCAAACTCTTCCTCATACACAATCGGCCCATCCCACCTCGCCTCCGGCCACGTAACATACTTCTGCTCTCGTTCAGTGAGATACTCCAACTTAAGCCTTTTCCTACTCGCCCACCGCGTGTTCTCATCGCTGCTCTCCCAGCGCGATTTGCGTTTGTGACCCGCAAGCACTCCCGCAACGATGGCATCAAATAGGTCTGTTTGCATGACTTGGGAAGGACGGGATTCGAAGGCGGAGATGTTAACGATGGCAACGTCGGTGGTGTCGATGTCTTCATAAAGAGTGACCGCATCCTCCCTGGGTATTTCGATTGGAAAGGCACATATGGCGCGCAAGACCCTGCAGCTGCCGCTATTGGGGAGAGCATCAAAGACGCGCTGCAAGTGAGATTGGGTGGTGTCGTCAACTTCCTAGTCAACATGTAAGGTCGCGAAAGATGGAATAATAAGCAAACTGACTTTGAAGAATGCCTGAGCATTCAAAACTGACAGTGTCGCTTGCAGATCCGAAGGTCGCACAGGTTCTTGGGTTAACAACGCCTTCAACGCTACCCAGACAAAGTTTCCATCAGCCAGTTGGATGGCGAAGAGTAAGTTGGCGTTTGATGAATGCGGTAAACAAAACACGGTGCCCACACGATGTTCCATCCACGAAAGAGTGTCCTCTATGGAGACCGCCTGATGGGCAAGTGGTCGGAAAGATTCAAAGTCGTCTGCAGCCACCGGAGACCATTCTACCTCGTCGGACTCTGTTCGGTAGAAACGAACTAGAGTTGCAGGCTTTGTCGCCCATTGCGGAGAACCACGTGGAAAAGAGAAGATTCGATCCAGACGGTTACTCTTACCCAAAGCCTGGGTAAGATAAAAGACAAGATAGTGGGTCAGAGATTCTGATGTTCGAGGGATGTTTCGACGAAGGCTCTGAATGAAGGTTGCCGGATTTTCGTTTGGCCCTCCTGATATTGGTCGAGTCGGAAAGGGAAATAAGGTCCTTGCGATAACGAGAAGCGGCGTCGGTTCATCGAGTGCCAACTCCGTGAAGTTTCCATCCTGAAAACGCGCTAAATCGCGATACATCAGAGGAATTTGATCTTCTCCGAGCAGTGGCGAGGCATTGTGGGTCGCCAAATAACGCAATAGGATTTCGAGAAATAGGTTCTTGTCCTCTAAGTCAATCGTTAGTATTCAACCTGGAACCGGCTTGTAAATTAACCTTCAGACACTCCACGAATTTTGATTGGATAAAAGCTTGCTGCCCAAATTGGCGCCTCCCCTTCAGCCCCTACGTACTCGACTGCATCCATCGGTCGGAAGGAGACAGCATGCTCCATATATTTATCGAAACGCGTGTGCGGAAAATGCAGACCTTCGCAGAGCAGGAAAGCAATGAACGTTGCTGTGAACCGATGTCTGATGAGCGATTAATCAGCATTCGAGCAATCATAGAGCAGAAACAGTACCTGCCGCGCAGCCAGCGCCAAGCTCTCGCTATTAGAAAATGGCCCGCAGGAGACTCACGCAGAGCCGAAGGTAGAAACTGAGCCACGTATTGTTCTTGCTGAAGAGGGTCATCAAATGAACCAGTGTTTGAGGTCCAAGCGAAATCGCTGCCAGCTCCATCCTTGAATCGCTCTTTTGGGATCTTGATTCCGGCGCAGATGATTGGGCATTGTCCCTTCGTTAGATCCATCCACGTTTGAAGTGCTATTTGTAGGAGAGATGTGCCACACAACTGGTACGAGAACATATCGACAGCATAACTCCCTTCATCCAACACCAGAAACAGTGGGTCTTCGCCAATGAAGGTACGGATTTTGCGAAGTGCGATAGTTATGTTTTCGGCCAGGTAGGTAGAATCATGCTCCAGCAGCTTTCTTGCCAGTTCCTCGAAAGGTTCCGTGTTCCTTTCAGCGATATTTCTCGGCCGCAGTTGCGTCACGAGCCACCGTTTCTTTGTCTCGTTGGAAAATTTTGCATCATCAATCGACGCCTCTTGCAAAAACATCAAGAAGACCATAAGCCGGCTCAACAAGATGGCACCAAACATATTGGTCACAACCTGTGTTGTTTGAGGCACATCGCCCATCCTAAAATCGAACTGGCACTCGCGTAGCAGCATTTGCAGATCGTAGGACCCAAGACGGCCGCTATCGATATGGACGCTGAGGTAAAAACCCCAGTTAGAGCAAAGACCTTCATAGCAAAGTCGGGTCTTCCCAGTTCCGGATGCATTGACCAGAAATCTGAAGATTGTTAGTGACGTTTCAGAGTCAGTATACGAAGCAACTGACTTGTTTGTTGGTGTGAAAATATTCGAGACGCGTTCATGAAGAATATCATCGTGGCAGAACCCTCCCAAGTTGTGTAGAATGATGGATAGATACTTTGATTCTTGATATAGGTGGAGAGATTCCAAAAACGCCAACGTTGCCTCGTCTGTGTAATCGGTGTGTTTCCGTGGCTCCCAAGGCTCTAAAAGCCCACCGTTGATGGCAATCTTCATGTCGCTGCGAAATGGATCCAGAAATGACCTTGCAAGTGATGAAACGAAGGGTGGGATGAACGCTACAATTGGTTGAGCATTGTAGGACACTATTTGACCTACTACTTACGTGAATTCTTCACCAGCGTCCAGTCTGCAGCGAGTCTTGCCCGTTGCATTGTATGATATAGTCTTGGCTGAGTGTGGAGAAGCTGGGAACAGAAGGGAATAGCGACAAGGTCTTCGTCGACTGGTCGATTGGCGTCCAAAAACAACCATCTCAGCAACAGCGAGAGGAATTGAGCGGCAACAGCCAAGCTTTCGATACGGGGATAGCACGCCTCCAGAGCAGCTAGCCGCTCACAAATCGAAGGAAGTGTTGGCTCCATGGGAGGCTGGAAGGGACGCAATAGGAACCATTGTCAGGCTCTTTTGTGTTTGGACGTTGTGGATGTCGTTCATCATGATGACTAATCACCAATTACAACGAGGTCTATATTCATCCATTCCTTGTCCGTTTGGCCTCCGCACGTTCCTCACTTCGTGTATTGCGGACTGCAGGGGGAATTTCTGTCTCTCTCCTCCCTGGGCCAGCTGGGTACTATCACGCGTTCTCCTCCTTTCCCTGCGAGCCAGACTGGTGTTTCGCTCGGTTCATGATCAGTGGCTTTGCTGCTCTCAGCAGCAGAGCCAGCGTCGGTGTCGTTCATCTCTGGGCTTTTGATACGTCTCGCAGTGTTCCTCGTGATCCCCTCTTCTCCAAGTTCAAGTACCAGCATCATTACAGTACAGTACAACAACCGCGACAACTCGGATTAAAAGGAGTTCATCCCTTCCGCGTCCTCTTTGCCTCCGCACGCGTCTTGCTTCGCGTATTACCTGCAGGCGGCTTGTCGCTCTCCGCTGGTTGAGCCGCCTCTGTCATATCAATATCACTCTGCCTCTTCCTTTTCTTGAGAGCCAGACTACGGCTCCCATCTGGTTCATCGCCGGGGCTGTCAGAACGTACGACAGCCTTGCCTTTGTTCTTCTGCGCAGCAGGAAGTGCGGATTGCGGCCGACTTGAAGTAACCTTCTTCACCACAGTCGATTTCCTTTTGCCTTTGCTGCTTTCAGCAACAGGGCCGTCGTCGTCGTCGTCGTCGTCTAGCTTTTTGGCACGTCTCATGGTCTTCCTTGTCGTTCGCGGTTTTGCTGCCGACCTGCTTGCTGTCGGTCTCTTGTTCCTGGCTCGCTTCGGCTTAACCACTAACGGTTCCTCAGATGACATCCGCCCATCCCAAGTCGCTGTCGGCACTGCCTGGTGAATCGCTGCCTCCTCCGGCACAAGATGTCTGATGCGGTGGGTGGCAGTATGCAGAGCTCCATCGTCCGATTCCCATCGCGACTTGCCTGTATGGCCAGCAAGCACCCCAGCAATCATTGCATCAAACAGCTCGGTTTGCAACACTTGGTCTTTCTTGGTCTCCAGTGCTGCGAAACTGAGAGTTGCTGCGTCAAATGTGTCCTCAGGGAGAAATTCCTCCAGATCCTCGATCTCAAAGGGGAAAGAAGACACGACCCGCAGAAATCTCTCGCTACTGAATTTCGGCAGCGAGTCTACGGCCAGGTCGATGCGCGATCGGGTCGTTTCATCAACATCCTACAGTGACATCAGAGAGCAAACAAAAAAAGGGAAAGTAATCGTACCCCGGAAATATGATTACGCTCTAGATTTGCGAAGGCCATTGCGAGTTGATCTGAATCGATAGACTCCGCCGTTGCGAAAGCTTTGAGTGCAACCCAAACCAATGATCCGTCGGCGAGCTTGAGAGCACAGAATAGATCGACATTTGGTGAGTGGATTGGGAGACAGAATGGTGGCTCTTCCTGGCCAGCATGTTCCATCCACAGAAGCGTTTGATCTAACGACGTGGTCCGCGCAGCGAGCGGTCGGAACGACTCGAAATCGTATGGTGCTGTTGTCGAGTGTGTAATCTCGTTGGTGTCGAGACGGTGGAAACGGACGAGTGAGGCTGACTGGTCCGCCCAAGGTGGTGGTTCAGAGGGAAAAGCGAAAATCTTGTTCAGTGGACGGTGTGGTTTGAACACCTCGGCCAAGTACAAAACAATGCAATGCACAAGACCCTCGGTTGTTTGTGGAACATTCGTTCGCAAACTACGAATCAGAGTCGCAGGATGGTGTAAGCGAAATCCCGTTGCTTCAGGGAACGGAAACAAATGGCGTGCAATTTTGAGAAGTGCAAGGGGCTCGTCGAGCACTATTTGACCAAGGTTTCCGTCCACAAAGCGTGCCCAACCATCATAAACAAACTGAGTTTGGTCACTCCGAAAGGTATGGGCACCGTCTCGAGTGACCAGGTAGCGTAGGAGTATATCGAGAAATAAGTCATGTTGCTCTGTGTATGCGGGGTCAGATTGTACCTTCCGCCAGTGAGAGAAACAAACTTGGCAGGATAGTCAAGACGTTAAATCCGGCAAGTCTCTGCTCCCAGAGCCGATGAGTCCCTTCTTCGCAGGAATACTTGACTGCATCCACTGGCTGAATGGATAATAATGAGTGCAGCATGTCGTCAAGGCGAGTGTGCGGGTGTTTGAGGCCTTCTGTCAACAAAACGCCGATAAACGCTGCTGTAAATCGATGTCTGGCAAACATTAAGTAATGGGAAGCTTCGACTCAAGCCTGATCAAGTAAATACCTTCCACGTAACCATCGCCAGATACGAGCAACAAGAAATTGGCCCGTAGGAGAGTCTCGTAGTGACGGTGGTAAAAATTTGATGACATACTTCTCTTGCTCGTTAGGATCATCGAAGGCTCCGGTATCGGATGTCCAGACAAAATCACTCCCATCAGTATCGACGAACTCGGATTGAGGCAAGTCAATTCCAGCACATACGAGAGTGCATTGATCCCCAGTCAACTCCCGAAACGCTTCTATGAGGATATGTAGCAATTTCTTCTTGCCGCGGAAAGCATGAGTTAACAGTTCCAAGCCCATTTGTGCTTCGTCAATGGCAATAACTAGTTTTTCGTTGCCTGTGATTTTCCGAATCTTTCGGAGGGCGTCTCTTATGTTTTCGGCAAGATAGGTGTCCTGTTCCGTGTTGATTAGACTGGCCAACATCTCGAAAGGATCCCAGATAGTGTCCCGAGTCAAACTATGGGGACTGAGCTGCACTAAAAGCCACCACTTTTTGTGCTCTTCTCTCAAGTCTGAATTTGAGTCGTTGACCGACTCGAGGAAGAGCAGTAAGACCGACAATCGCGCTAGCAAGATTGATCCCAAGAGATGAGCCATTTTGGGGATGTTTTCTGGCGAGGTAGGATTTTCATGATGGTTGGATTGGAAATCCCGCACCAGAAGTTCGATATCCCGTGAGCCCAATCCACCACTGTCGACATGGAATGTAAAGTAGAGCCCCCACTTTGCACACAATCCCTCGTAACAAAGGCGAGTTTTGCCTGTTCCAGAGCCATTTACAAGGAATCTAAGAAGGGCTAAGCGATGCGAAGTAAGAGTTGACGAATGCAATCTACGTGTTCTTCCCCGCAAATATCTTGGTAACCCGGCTGTGGTGCGCGAGCTCTCCGAGGTCGTGGAGAATGATGCAAGCTTTCGAAGGATCGTTATACGGGTTTGGAATCCGAAGCGATTCAATAAATTGGTTAATTTCTGCATCGTCGTAAACGTGACGTCCGCTCCATGGTTCAAATATAGTTCCAGTTTTTGCCAAAGCTTGCATCCTTGAGCGCAGTTCATTCACGTATGCATGACCAGGGGAAGGTAGGAAGGGAGGAAGAAAAGCTGCAAAATGATTAGCCAAACCCACGCAATTCGGAGGACTACTCGTCGCCATGGTCCATAAAACTGATCAACCCTGCTTTCCCAGTACGGTAGGCGTGTAACAGTTCTCGGTGTAGGTCGAGGCGTTGAGACAGCAGCACTTTGCAATTAGAGACTTGGGTGCAACTCTCATCTATTGGCCGACACGCTCTCAAATAAGAGCCTGCGAGGATGACTGCCAGAAATTCGGCAGCTATATCCGAACTCTCGATTTCAGAGTGAGCCGCGACGAGGAGCGCTAGTCGTCTATCATTAGAGGATGTCTGGAGCTCGAAATCGTCCACAGAGCGTTTTCCCATTGCTTCGACTGTGTTGGTTCAAGACACAATTGTTGAGTGACACGTATTTATGATCGCTTAGCCTTCACACGCACTTCACTCTCACTCTCAAAATGCTTGACCAACGAGATGCCAGTGTGGTCCAATGCAAGTACTAATACACTTGAGAGTGAGTGATGTTCCCATATCAAGACGTAAGTGTATCCGTTGAATCCATATGATATCACCTCCATAACGAGCTCAAGGGGTGACTTTTTGTTGGCCATGACGATGGGAAGATGGCGAAGGCTCTTATGGACCGATGTATTCCTGTGGTGGTCAACATCGATACCTTAGGTAGTCTGTCACGGTGCAGCACGGTGCCGAGAGTAAAGTTGTCGGACGAGCAGTGAGTGTTTGTGGGCCTAGTGCGAGTCATTTTTAACCATCGTGTATACCTGTTAATGTATGCCCATTGTACCCAAGTTGTGTAGGAGACATGCTTTTTTTTTCAAGCTTACCAAGTTTCCGTTGGGAAACTGTACAAATACAATACTGTAGGTGTCACAGTTACTCAACTGTTCTTTTTGATGCCACACCAACACGACGAGCACTGTGGCCACGAAGCCACCGACCACGACCACGACCACGATACGGCAGATCTTGGAGCGAACGACAACCTTTTCAAACAGATTGACCGCGACAATGTTGTTGCTCTAAATACTCTCGCCGCTGGCTCTCTGGTGATCAAACCTTGGCACGAACGGCTTGACGAAACAAAGGTCCTGATCTGCCAAAGAAAGATGCGCTTTTCGTCCGTCTGATACCACTTAGGCTCTCGAATCTGACGCTGACGACCAAATGTTTGGCTTTTTACGCACTAAGAGAGAGATCAAAATGCGATAATTTTGTGCTAGCATCATCCGCATTCCATTCACCAGTTCCGTCCGCTTGCGTTCTCTCCTTCTCAAGACCGGTCCCGGCGACCAAACTCCGTCGAAAGTCGCCTTGGTAAGAACACAACTATCCAAGACGCGACTCATCAGAGTAGTTTGCAAACGAAGACAACTTTGACTTTGATGACGTCGCTGACAAGACTCCGACACAGGAATTCATCGTGGCCCCAGGACGCGAAGTCGGAGAATACGCATTGAGGTCAGTGTGCTGAATCAGGATCCAAGTCCGAGCCGACTTTGCGCAGAACAGCGAAATTCTCCAACTTGTCATCCGTGTCGCTCTTGTTCCCTGCCTCGCAAGGTGCCGACACCACCCAAATATATTATGTCGGCTTTCTGGGCCACTGGACAGAGGTTTGTCTCTTCAATTGTCCAAGCCCCTTGTTGACACCATCGTAGCGCAAGAACAGTGCGGTGATTACCGTTTACGAAACCCAAGCCAACCTGGCAGACCATGAAAAGATTCAAGGGACTGATGGCGCGACCAGTAATCCCGGTTTCTGAATTCAAATGCTGAAGATGTTGTTACATGATGCCTTGTAGATAATAATACAGAATTGTAGATGCGTTTATATTCCGAAAAATGTTTACATTCCACCTCCACCCGAATCTCCGCCCCTCTGCATAAAGTTTTGCATCATCTGGAAGCTCACAGCACCGTTTCCTCCACCTTGAGGAGGAGGAGCAGTGGTAATCGTGTCAGGATAACCAGAGCCCATAAACCCACCGCTCATCCCATTGCCTCCGAACTGGTTGAATCCCAAACCCTCTTGTGGCATCATGGGACCACCACCACCACCACCCATCTGAGGTATACCACCAGGCATTCGTCCCGCAGCCGCAGCCGCAGCAAGTCGGTGTTGCTGCTGTTGTTGCCAAGTTCTCGCCAACTTGAGCAACGCAGCCGACCGCTGCTCCTTGGTCAACTTGATTAGATGCGCCATATTTTGGGGTGTGATGAACTGTGTCAGGAATTGCACAGGCACAGGCATGCCCTGCTGTAGCAAGAATGCGTGGATCTGATTGCGGAAGTTCGTCAGGTTTATTTGTGACATTTGTAGTTGTGGCGCTTGTGGCTGAGCTGGATTGGGCACTGGCGGTGGCGGGCCAGCAGCAATATGGTGACTCGGACCGGCAATCGAGGGTTCGGCAGAAGGGTATTCTGGCACCCCAGTCGTTGGGAAGAAAGTACCAATGAGGTTCATTTCTGGCGATGGATAAACAAGTGCGTTAACCGTGGGCTGTGAAGCCCCAGGCAGAATCCATGATATAGTAAAATGCTAGTAGATAAGTTAGTTCGACAAGTCATAGCATCTTCGGACTCACGGTATTTTTCGAGCCAACCAATGTTAAGAGAGTTCGGAACGCTACGTCGTTGTTGGGCATATTTGAGCTGGGATTCGGCCCTAAAACACACAAAGCAGGTTTGTGTCGTGAAAGAAGCTCGGGAAGAGGCATAAACGGTTTCTCGGGGAGCGCAAACATCATTTGCTTGGGCCACATTTCCGGTTTCCTATGAAAGATCGGCTCAGTAAGCGCGAACCAACTTAAAAGGTAACTTACGCGTCAGCACTTTGATTGTGTCGATAACTAGCTTGTAAATGACACACGATGTTTCGTGGCTGTCCGAGGTTATTAGTCCCCGTCCAAACCACAGGTCCTTGCCAGATCGGACGAGGCCCTGCTGTTGATCCGGAATTTGCCGTGTTTTGTTGTCGAGAGCGTTCTTGTTGCTCGATCATCTTTTGCATTTGAGCCATAGCAGCAGGGTTACTCATCAGAGTTCGGTTGGGACCGCCGCTCAATGATCGCATATGACTATTTGGTGGTGGAACAGGAAGGGCGGGTTCAACCGCCATCTTGTCTGATGATTCTTCCTGTTTGGAAGGGCTGCTTTCTGCGATAGATGATGGAGGGGGAGGAAGACTAGGCTGTGATGGGGATTGGTGCTGATGTTGAAGTTGAGGTTGTTGGTGTTGCAAGGCCGCCTGAGCCGCAGCGGTTTGTTGCATAAAGGCCGTTCGTTGTTGGTGAAGTAGAAGACTCTGCATCATTGATCTCAATTTGTCGAATTGAGCCCTTTTCGGCATGATTTGTTGGGCAAGCAGTTGGGCTTGTTGATGTTCGCCTCGCGCGCGCATCTCTTTCATCTGTGCGTCAGCGGCGGCGATACCGGTTCCAAGAACACGATGGAGCTCTCGTAGTTGCGCGAAGTTGACATTTGCAGGGGTAGGTGCCATTGCTACTGGATTAGGGTTGGGAGTGGGGTTAGGAATAAGATTTTGAGGAGGAGGAGGAGGTGGTGGTGGTGGTGGGGCGACTGCGGCAGTTTCTCTTACAGGCACGGGTGCCGGAGAAGGTTGTGGAGGCGATGAGTGGGTGGGCTTAGGTGGAGAAGGTATCGGAGGTGCTGATATCCTTGGCCGCTTGGGTGACTGGGGAGTAAGCGGTTCAGCAGCGCGTTTGACGCCTAATATGAGTAGTGAAACGGATTCAATGGGGTCAGTGACTTGCGCACCTTTCTGTGGTACCGTATAGCCTGCGAGAAGCACGGTGTCTTGTGATCTAGTTATGAACCAGGGAGGAATGATTGACGAAGAAGCGGACTAGTGTTACAATCGGTCAGGAACTGGTGTAAAGCTAGGTCGAATAAAAGCCTGCGTACAGCGTGAAGTTGGGCGAATTTGGGTAGCTTGGTTTTGATGCTGATGGAGCTAAGATGGATGCTGCGCTAGAAAAGGAATTAGAAACAAGGGTGGGTGGGTGTGCATCTGACTTACCTTCTTCAACTCTGTTGGAAGAGATTCCCAAGTCACATAGTCCAGGGCTGGTGAGTTGTTGCATTGAGGATGTTCAACGTCATCCGGGATTGCAGCAGAGAAATGAAATATGTGCGAGGTCAAAGGACTATTTTTTGCTCGGTCCTCCGTGAATTGGTCGAACAGCTGCAGGGTGTCAAAAGGGTCTAGCGTAGTTTTGATTCAATTCACCTCAATAGCGGCAACAAAGCCCTCCAAAGCAGCCATCCCCATTTCTCCGCCGCACGAACTCTGACCCATCCCACATTTCACCGCCTCATTGAGAACAACCTGGATATCGAAGAAGAAATTCTTGCAGACTATTGGAGTGTTCTGCGTCCCATATATAACAAATGCCGCGCGGAACTAGTGTCTATGAAGGGAGCGTTGACGGCCAAGGAATTCCTGAACATACCACAGCATTGAGGTTCGTATCTTGGAGTCGCTTGAGCATTGGAGTGAGATAGAATTGTCGCAGAGTCGGCCATTCTAGAGCGAGTGCAAGGGAGGAGTCCACAACGAAGGCGATGGCGACGACCGAGTCTGCCATAATGAACCTTGACGAAGACAAGCGAGCGCGACGTGACAAGGGTGACGTGACTGACGTCTTAGCGCGTCTATCAGAGTCTGAGTCTTTCTTTAACAGCCACACCCACCCTCGTCGTCGCCCAACATGACGAAGACCTACTTGATGACGAGTCTCATCGAAAAGGCTAGTGTGCACATGTGGCTCATTAGCTTTATACTGACTCTTTCACAGATGCAGTCCCCAGACCAAGACTTCCGGTGAGGGACGCGTCGTGGACCACTTGACGCGGCGATTAAACATCGTTGTATAGCTTCATGGGACTCAATGACTTAATGAACGAGATCAAACAGGATCAGTCCTGTTTTGTAGGAGACGAGTCTGTCGAGAATAAGGTCCTCAATCAGGTTCTCGCATTGGTGGAGGATAAAATATCTGAAGTCAAGAACCAAGCGGTCAAATGGTCGGTTATTCTTTACGTTGGGCTGCCTATGCTCGTGAAACTCATTTTCCCCTTGAAGTCTGGGCCAGTTGATTAAAATTCTCCGCCAGTCCCAAATGGAACTCGTTGTCGATAAACTGATCGACTTTTCTGGTGGCCAGGACGAAGAGTTGCGTGATATCTCAGGCCTCGGTTCGCGAATCAAACTTTGTCCTTTCATGCTACTTATTCTATCTTAGCCCTTAAAACGATTACTGCAGAGCTTCCTCCTGACGGAAAGATAGCAGCCACAGCTTGCGCAAAGCTGACTCCCAAGTTACTAGGTCAAATCTCCAATGTGCGTCTCTGTTCCTTCAAATACCTCTGCTTATGTTTTTAGTCCTCGACCCCTCCCGAGGCTCTTGTAGAAACGCTAGCGATTCTTTCCATCCTGATTTCGAGGTTCCCTGCCCACTTGTCTAGCACAACGCTTTCTCCACCACCTCTCGCTGCCCTCCCTCCGCTTCTCACTCACGCAAGGCCAGTTGTCCGAAAACGTGCTATCGTTACGCTGGCCCAGTTTGTTCCCATATCTCAAACCCACCTCTTCACCGACCTCCTCGCGACACACGTCTTCCCGTACTTGGCAAACAATGCCAATCTCGAGAAGCAGCGGACCACTGTTCATCTCATTGCAGCTGTTGCGCGAACTGCGCCAACTCAGATCGCGCCAGTTCTTGCGGAGATTGTGCCCGGAGTCGTGAAAGCTGTCCAACGGGACGACGATGAGTTGCGCGAAGGAAGTCTCCAGGCGCTCGAGGCGCTGGTTCTGCGCTGTCCCACCGAAATCACACCTTACTTGACGCCGATTATCCAGGCTGGCGTCCAATTCATCAAATACGACCCTGTAAGTAAACTACCTATCTTGCATCGCACACTTACCCGTGTTAGAACTATGCTGGAGACGATGAAGACGAGGAAATGGCTGATGCTGATGACGATGAAGATGAAGATGCCGAATTAGACGAATACTCAGATGACGAAGATACTTCCTACAAGATTCGTCGCGCAGCCACAAAACTGCTTGCAGCCATCGTGGGAACTCGTCCAGAGCTTCTTGCGTCTCTCTACAAGGACGTTTCTCCAGTCCTTATATCACGATTTGGTGACCGAGAGGAAACAGTCCGCCTCGAGATCTGGGCCACCTACATTATTCTTCTCAACCAAACGTCTGTTTATGGTGGACATCCCCAGAGTGGCCGGGATGAGTCATCGTTGAAGCGAAAACGTGATACGGAGACTATGGAAGTAGAAGAAGGCCCATACAGTCTCCTGAAAGGGCAGGTTCCCAATATGTCCAAAGCATTACTCAATCAGCTCAAGTCTTCCAAAACGTCACCTTCGACCCTCCAGGCAGGTTTCACTGTTCTCAAAACCTTGCTCGATGTACTCCCTGGTTGTCTTGGGAGCCAGGCGGTCTTGATTATATCAACATCCAAGTCGATTCTTTCACAAACCCCATCCACCTCTTCATCAACTCTGCATCTCACGTGTCTTTCATTCCTAGCATCCTTTTTTGCATCCCATTCTCCTCCATCATTCTCATCATCACTCCCCAACCTCACCCCAGCACTTCTACGGAGCCTCGGCGAGCGTCACCCTCGTATTGCTTCAGAGACATTCCGTGTCTTCTCATCCTTACTGAATGCGGCCAAACCTTTGAAGGTTGGAAACGAATGGCCTGAAGCTGTCTACGACCAAGCTGTTGCACGTCTCGTTGCACACGATACTGACACTGAAGTGCGAGCATGTGCAGAAATTTGCATCGGCGACATTTGGGTGTGCGCCACTGATGTTGTCCGTAACCGCGACCGTCGTGAATGGGAGGCCATTTGTCGTCCCGGAGCCAAGACAGATGGTGCAGTCAAGGTTGTTACCCGCGTCGCAAAGGAGGTTCCCTCTGCTCTAGGCGATGGGTGGGTTAACGGTTGTGTTGAATGGGCAATGAGTCTCCTCAAACGAGGCGGTCGGGCCGGAAAGCCGGAAGTGTTCCAAGGGTTGGATGTTTTGCTGCGCAGTTACACGACGGGAGTTCCACAAGCTCTTCCATCAAATCTTGTGCCTCAAATCAAGGTTTACCTTTCAACTGGGGATATTCCCCTGCTCTCACATGCGCTTTCTTTACTCGCACTACTTCTTGAGCTTGCACCGAAAACAACCTTCCCCGAGATCGAAAGCGATCTTCTTCCCGACATCTACCGTATCGCCCACTCGCCTTTGGTGTCTGGCACAGCTCTGGATTCCCTTCTCAGTTTCTTTGCCGCCCTCGTTAATGCCGATAATCAGATTGCTACGCATCTGGTCCCGAACCTGGTTATCGCGGTTGAGAAAGCACCCAAAGCAGATGCCAGCCCCAGCAATGTTGCTAAATGCGTATCACAAATTGTCCGCAATCAACAGTCCATTGCTGCAGGTACAATTGCTCAATATGCGAAGAACGTCAAGGTACATTACTATTGGCATTTGTTATTCCTGCGCTCATCTGCAAAATAGAACCCGAAAGCGAAAACCGCGTCGGTTGTCTTGAGTCTTCTCATCCTGGGCGAACTGGGACGGTTCATGTGGGCATTTGGTTCTCTTTCATCTCTATCGCTGAATGATTTGTCAGTGACATGTCTAACCAGCAAGAAATTTTCAGAGAAGCCATCGAGCATTTTGGCTCTGAACAAGAAGAAATCCGCGCCGCTGCATCGTTCGCCGCAGGCAACATAGCTATCGGAAACTTGCAGCAATTCCTTCCTGCGATCGTCAATATCGTCAAGTCCGACGCAAAGAAGCGGCTGCTGTCGTTGCATGCACTCAAAGAAGTGGTCACCCATTGTTCCCACGGCCAACTCGAGGGTGTCGCTGATATGCTATGGGGGCCGCTGTTTGAGGACGCGGAAAACTCGGAAGAAACAACGAGGAATGTCGCGGCTGCTTGTCTTGGAAAATTGGCGACAACCCATCCTGCGCGGTATCTTCCACAACTCCATGTGAGGTATTTTATTTGCTTTTCCTTGTGTTAATCGTGCTCGTTAGGCTCGGGTTCGGGATCCCAATCCATCTTCTCGTGCTACCGTCGTGTCCGCGATTCGTTATACTTTTGCTGAGACTTCGCAATCGTATGACGAGCTGCTAGCTCCCTTATTGGTTGACTTCTTGTCGTTGATGCTCGATGAAGATATTGTACGTCGTTTCGCTGTACACGTCCGCCTTGCTGACAAAACACACAGACCGTCCGTCGACTAGCGCTTTCCACGCTCAACTCCGCCGCTCGCACAAAACCTCACCTCATCCGAGATCACTTGCCGTCTTTACTTCCAAGTCTCTACAAAGAGACGGTCATCAATGCCGATCTGATTAGGACTGTCCAAATGGGTCCCTGGACTCACAAGGTGGACGACGGTCTTGACGCCCGTAAAACGGCATACGAGACGATGTACACCTTGCTCGACACCTGTCTGGCCAAACTGGAGCTCCCTATCTTCTTGGGACGCGTACTTCCAGGACTCGCAGACGACTCTGATGAGATCAAAGTGATCTGTCACATGATGCTTTACCGGTTGTCGCAGGTGGCGCCGGCAGCTGTGTCGCAGAAACTTGACGAGGCAACGCCTGAGCTGGAGAAGACGATGAAGGGCGCGACGGTGACGAAAGACACGGTGAAACAGGACTTGGAGCGGGCAGCGGAGTTGCAGAGAAGTGCGTTGCGGGCAGTAGCTGCGCTGAGCAAGGTTGGCATGGGCGTGTCGCCGAGATTTGATGCTTTTGTGGAGGAGATAAAGAAGAGCCAGTGGACTGTTGAATTCAAAGAGCAAGTTGCACAGGCGTAGAAGAAGTAGAATAGGACGCTAGCAGTCACGAAATGGATCTGTCTCAACTGAGAGTTACCCTCCGAGTTGAGGATGCGCCTGTACCAACGTGGGTTGCTTCTACACCCAGCTTGTTAACTCTCAGGAGACGCGATAAACGGAATCCAAGAGTCGGACTGTGCAGGCCAGTTTACACGCTCACATGTCCGTGACTAACCTGTCACACGTCACGTTACGGTTCTTCGAGTTTGCCCTGCGTGTACCATGTTTTCACCTGTATTCAGTCCACCACGGCCACTCGTCATGCAAAGCCCGTCTGCAAGTCCTGCGAAGACCCGCCCATCCTTCCAGCTTACTTCTGCGGAAAGTTTCGAGGCATCGCTCATGGCTGGTGGTTATGGTCTCTACGTGTGTTTTCATTGCCACAAAAACGGCTTTCTCGCTAACTCTGTTCTTCCAAAGAAAACCGCGGAATGGGTGCGCCAGCCATCCGTCCCGGGCGACATTCCAATGCCGGCGTCTGTACCCGGTCCATCCAAGCCACCCATCTTCAAAAAACCTGAATATGTGCTCCCTCCACCACTCAGCGAAAAACAGCTTCGCAAGAAACGTCGTGTGGATAAATTCCGTATAAACAACAATGGCGGTGGCTCTCGACCATATCAACGGCTTCTTGTTGGCGAACTGCGTGGGATTGGGAGGGTTATCCTAGACGAGACTCCTCCAAATGGCGTCTACACGGAGGCTACAGCCATAGCTGCTGCCCGGAGACCAGCTGAAGAACGAAGACGGAAGAAAATAGCTGCTGACGCTGCAATGCGGGAGCGGGAGCGCAAAGAGGCATTGACCGTCAGTTATGAGGATTGCCCGACGCAACCCAACTGGCCGGATGACGACTTTCCATGGAGGCTGAGTGAGGAGCGGAGGTTAAAGCTCTTAAAAGAAGACCGAGAACTGCGAATGCGCTATATCGAAGAGTTTTTCGCAGGCGACACGGATGATGAAGACGAGGTTGGAGGAGGAAGATCGAAGCGTATCGCCTAATAAACGCTTTTGCCGTTACAATCTATTCGCCAAGACGACTGCACACAATTTCTTGAAAGTTGACGTTCACTGTAATGGAAATTCCGCTTTGATGACTATTTTGCGCTGAGTTGACCGATATGCTATCTTGCTTCAAGCTACTATCCTCCCTTGACAATGTCCTGGGGTTTCGGAAAGGATTACACTGGCTCAAAATTGTCAGGTGTTCTTTGCCACTGATTCTCATCTGCGATTGTCGTGAGAGAAGTGATGAGGCGGCGAACCAGGTGAATACCCCGCAGACAGGTATTTATTCAAGGGCGCCCTGACCAACTGTTCTGTTTGACTACCGCACCTAATTAATCGCGGGCGGCTACTCCCTCGCGCTAGTTTCCTTTCCTTTTGCCAGCAGTGGGTCTGGCGCTGCGAGCTTGGGGAGTCATGCTGGACCAACCACTCCCAGGCATCGAAGACGACATCACCGAGTTGTAAGTGTGACTTCTCTGGGTTTACACAGCGCTCACCCCTATCAGCTTGCGGACTAATGCATGTATTGGCCTATGAACGCGGTAATACCAACTGACCGTCGTTGTTTTGTGTCCAGTATGTCGGTTTTGCCGCCTTCACAATCTTAATTTGGGACCATCTCGACACGTTCGCGACTGAGGTTCTTCATTTCATCCGTTCTATCCCACTGGCTAAAGCGCCTCCTAGGTGGAATATATATGGCAAGGGAAAAAAGGACTGCGTGTGTTTGACCGATTTGAATTCTAGCTCAGAGAGCAGCACTGATTGTTTTTCCTTAGTCGTGTACCTTTTCCTGCTTGTCAGCCAAAGTCTCTCGAAACCGATTTCTCAGAGCTTACATGCACACACAGAACCGCTACATAACACCTCTGGGCTTCATCGTCAATCTGTTCGGTGTGTGCTGCTCTGTCTCTGAGGTTATTGCTGATAATGATCTCCTACAAGCGTATCTCTCTCCAACATGGACCGTTGAAGTGGGTCCCTGTAGACTATCAGCATATAGGTGAACTCATCTGCTTGTAGCGGTGTCGACACTTTATTCGATATGAGGGCTCAATGACGCTGGTTGGGATTCATATAGTCGCACTTATGATGCTCCTGCGGTACGCTTTCAGCTCCCACTGGCATACGATGCTTGATATAGACATGCCATTAGAATCAACGCAATGTACTCGGCAACGCGACCAGTCGTTGGCGCCGTTGCGTGTCTGTTTCTTGGCATGTTGACGATGAATGCCTGGCTAATGACCCGGGGGCAAGGTACACAACTTACGGCGGATTTGGATCCTCGGCTCAACTGTTTACGCTAGCCGTAATGCATAATCCCAACTCAGGCGTCCACGGTATGTTCCAGACTTTAATGAAGCTTTCAAGTACTGATCACATTCAAGCATGCACTATGATCTTTCCTCCAGACATGTCCGTTCTTATTTGATATCCGATCCTGCCATCTCAAGAAACATCCTAGAAGCACACTCGCTTCGTCGTCGGCATGGCTCCCATTACTATACGATTCTGTCGTGTTAGTCTTGACACTCATCAAAACGGTTCCTCTGGTAGCAAGGAACAGTGGCACCTTCGTCATGAAAAGGTTACTTGAGGACGGACTCCTCTATTACACGTCAGGCGCATCCAGTTCTTCCCATTCTTTCTGATCTATGGCATAGTGCTATATGTGCTGTGACGCTGGTGTTAACCGTCATGATTATCTCAGCACCCCCAGGTAGGCTTGAATATGTCGTCCTCTAAGCGCATCTCACTTACATGGTCAAGGGCTAAAGAATATCGCGGCACAGTGGGTCCCACATGGGCTATAGATTACATACTACTGTAACCCTAATGGCTTTTGCAGACTTGAACTGCTGTACGCAACCCTAACCTGTCCACTCATTCACTCTCACTCATGTGGAATGCATTTCTCAGAATAACTGTGTGTACCAAAATCTTTTATATCCTTGTCAATACTAACGCTTTGAAGGTAACAATGATGTCCCGGATAACCCTCAACCTGAAGAAATGCGCGAAGGAGCGTCTGATTAGCACGGTTGTGCGAGATCCTGGCTCCCTCGTATTTTCGCCGGCCCACGAGGCCGACCTGTCGATATTGGGAATAGATCTGGGGGGAACACGTTCGCAGCCTGATCTCGAGACGCAAAGGCAGCGCCGCCCACCAGATTGGTGATTTGGACGCCAATTTGGCTCTTTGCTTTTTGGTGTTTGGTTTCATGGCTGTAAATATTGTGTATTAGGCCTCCACTGCCAGAATCTGGAATTGTAACAGTAATTGAATCATATCTTATCTTGATCTTATTACCTTGCTTTACAAGGTCCTGTATGTGGAAAATTGGGGTGCCAAACACAGGTAAACATGAAAAGTAAACAGAGCCAAACAGATCATTAAGTGGGAGGTGGGCCAAATCTACTACAGCTGGCTCGACACAAAGATATACGGTCAAATTCTCTAACTAATAGTGGAACTCCTGTGTCGTTGTCAACAATGGTTACACACAAGATTGTTCTAGTATCGGTTTTTTGCACCCATCCATATTGTCCAATGATGTCAGGGGAACCTCCCTTTCGGCCCCTCGGAGACGATTCCGATTCCGGTCCGACTCCGGCTCCGACTCCGGTGATCGCATCACCGCCTCCTCGTCAGGCGCATCGCCGCCCCCGCCTGGCGATCCCCCTGGGACCTGGCCTGCGACATGGCGCAGGCATACTGCACGGAGCAACGATCAACCTTGGCGCGTCAAGAGCGCAGTATATAGTTCCGCTACCTAGCAGGCGGACCCTTAGAGTTTCTTCTCTTTGGATCCTCCCCTGCTAGGTCAGCCTCACTTGTATTTGCTTACTTCTATTCACTCTTTGGATCCTCCCCTGCTAGGACCTTGATCTCAGGCCTCCGGGGTTGCCCTTACAGCAGAAGAAACTCTCTACGGGATCAACCGGACAAGATTGCTAGGTTCGGGCGCTGACTCAGGCTCGGAATACGAGTCCGTTCCGCCCTCGTCACCCCCCCCCTACCACTTGTCCCCTCCTCCTCTGTCACTCCTGTCATCCCCGCACCTGTCATGCCTTCCGGAGCTACTCCTGACGCTGACACTCGGCTGGATGCACTCGAGGCGAAAATCGACCGCCTAACTGAGGCCCTTACTCTTCTCACCACCCAGGCTTCCGCTGCCGCTGCCGCCGCTAATACTGCTGGCGGACCCCAAACAACACCACCCCCGGAGACGTCGATTCCGACTCCGACTCCGGTTCAGGGCGATTCGAGGCCCTCTTTGGCGACATCAACCTCGCCTCAAAATTGGTCTTGCGACCAAACCCTCTGTTCACCTTCAACGGCGATCGGAAACGCGGCCGCGCGTTTCTCTATGCGGTCCGCACCTACGCCCGCCTTGCCCCTGAGGCCTTTGTGGTCAACGGAGAGGCGAGCGAGGAAAAGGCCGTCCGCTATGCCATGTCGTTTATGGCAGAAGGACCCGCTCAGCAATGGGCGGAGCGCCACGGAAGCAAAGCCCCATTTCCGTTTCCGTCCTGGGGCTCATTCGTTTCCGAGTTCCGACTCCGGTTCGTCGAGGAGAATGAGCAAGATCATGCTCTCTCCAAACTGGAGACTTCCGCCTATCACATGGGCACAAAGGATGTCTACCAGTACACCGACGACTTCGAGGACCTGATGGACCTTGCCGGATTCGAAGACGCGTTGGTCAAGGTGACCAAGTTCCGCCCACGGACTTGACCCCCTGATCAACAACGGAATCACGTCCTCGAACGACCCCCCGGACCTCCAGGACTACCTTAGCTGGCGCACCCGGGCCTTCCGTCAATACGAGGCCCTGGTCCGGGCCAAGCTGATCAAGTCAGCCGCCCCCAAGACGCCTGGCGGTTTGATTCGGACTCCGTTTCCGGTCAACCGCATCCCGGCTCCGGCCCCTTTCCGCCCGGTGGCTCCGGTCGTGCCACCCGTGGCCCGCGCCCCCCGCTCCGGCGCCTCCAGCTCCCGTCCCCATGGAGTTGGATCGCACTAGGGCTCGGGGTGCCCCTCGTCGCGCCTGCTTCAGGTGCGGCGACCCAAACCATCTCGCCGGGATTGCCCCCCCCCGCGGACGTCCGCTCAATGGACATCCTCGACGAGGTGATCCAACAACTCGGTGACGAGATGTTAGCGGAGTTGATCGCCCGCTACTCGGACACAGCTGCGCTGCCGGAAACAGTCGCGGAGTCGATGGCCGGAGAGGATTTTGTCCCCGCGACGAGTGACTGGTGTGCCCTCGTTCGCGTCCGTAAATCGTTTCGCTTGTTTGTATGACGAATCAATTCCTTTGCCCTACAACGAGCCTGAAACGAAAGACATACCCTCCCCCCGCCCCGTTTCGACTCCGTCTCCGACTTCGCCCGCGACTCCGGTCATCGTCCTTCGCCGCCTCACTGCCTGGGAAAAGAAACTGCCCAAGCAGTACACTGTCGCTGCTTCCCCTGGAGTGAACTCCCTCCACCTCCCGTTGGAGCTAGAGTCCACTACCAGCGCTTAAGCTCTCGCTCTCTGGCCTGGTTGACTGTGGTGCCACCTCCGACTTTATCGACACGAACTATGTCGCTCGGAATGGCATTCCGGTCCGCACCCTGGCGCAACCGATTCCGGTCTTTAACATTGATGGCACTCCGAACGACGCCCGGCTCCATCAACCAGATCGCGGACTTGGTCTTACGCTACAAAGGCCATTCCGAGCGTGTTCAACTTCGCCGTCACTCATCTTGGTAAACAAGACCTTATTCTGGGGTACTCCTGGCTGCGGAAGCATAACCCGGAAATCAATTGGGAAACCAAGGAGGTCAAGATGACACGGTGCCCCCCGCAGTTGCTCCACTTGCCGCGAGGAAGAACGCGTTGAACGGACTGAGCTACGGCGACTCCGGCTGCTCCAGAAGCGACTCCGCTCCGGCCCGTTCCCCTCGGTCTGCACCATGGACCTCTCTGGGCCTGACGACGG